GTTGTCCTCAGCCTGTTTTTGACTAACGTAACATTTTCTAATATTTGATTTTCTATCTATCTTTTTTAAAAAGTTCTTTTTTCACTGGGTTATTAAGGTAACACATCTTACTGAATTATAGTACGTATGACTTAGAACATACAAGTCTTTGCAATTGCTCCTGCCTGAAGATAGTCACTGTTAACAGTTGGTGTATGTGCTGCCATCGTTTCTTCTGGAGTACATACAATTAAATAAATAAGGATGGAATCATACTATAATACTGCCCCCAACTTTGTTTTACCCAATGATGCATCCTAAGGCATCTTTCCATAACAGAACAGATAGAGCCCTTTTTTTTTTTAAAGATTTTATTTTTCCTTTTTCTCCCAACGCCCCTTGGTACATGGTTGTGTATTTTAGTTGTGGGCCCTTCTAGTTGTGGCATGTGGGATGCTGCCTCAGCATGGCCTGACAAGCAGTGCCATGTCCACGCCCAGGATTCAAACTGGCGACACCCTGGGCCACTGAAGAGGAACACATGAACTTAACCACTCGGCCATGGGACTGGTCCCCCTTTATTATTTTTAACAGCTGCATGTTTCATTTTATGGATGTACCATAACTTATTTATCCAATTCTCTATTAAAAGATGACTGGAGGGGCCAGCCCAGTGGCACAGTGGTTAAGTTCACATGTTCTGCTTCAGTGGCCTGGGGTTCCCCAGTTCGGATCCCGGGTGTGGACATGGCACCGTTTGGAATGCCATGCTGTGGCAGGCGAACCGCATATAAAGTGGAGGAGGATGGGCACAGATGTTAGCTCAGGGCCAGTCTTCCTCAGCAAAAAGAGAAGGATTGGCAGCAGCTGTTAGCTCAGGGCTAATCTTCCTCCAAAAAAAAAAAAAAAATCTAATACAATTAAAAAAAGACCAAAAAAATCTGATAATTATTACTAAATTACCTTCCCTAAAAAGTCCTACCTTGTAACATTCTTCTTTTAATGTCGACATTACATTTTGATTAAAGCTGTATTTTTAAATCCATTATGCTATACTTCATGTATAATTTATTCTAAATCCTTCGGAAACTGTTCTCTCAGGTACATTAAAAAACAAAACGAACACCCACCATTGTACGGCACCAAAGGGGAAATCATTTAGAAGCCAAGTTTTTAGCTCTTATTGTCTGTGCTCCCCCTGCTGGCACTAAGGGAACAGGCACCAGAGTGAGTTGGTTTCTATCACAAAGGTTCCACAATTAAAAAAGATACATTTGTTAGAAATAAACCTTTACTCTTTTAAAAAAATGTTTTGTGTTTATCTATGTATGAATTAATTGACAGGCCTAATGTAGAGCAGTTTTAGGTCCACAGCCAACTTGTGCAGCAAGTGCAGAGAGCTCCCTGCCAGCCCTTGGCTGCCCCGCACACCCACACCTCCCCTGCTATCAACATCCCACCCCAGATTGGGACGTTTGTTACAACTGATGAGAAACCTTTAATCGTGATAAGGATCACTGTGGCTTTCTTTCTTCCTTTCTGACATGTCTCTGAGTCTGTAACTGAAGTTTCAACCCAAACACCCAGAATCTGATTTTAGATGAGAATTTTAATTATAAAACAAAAACACAACCCAACAACAACACTCTTTAAAGACTGCCCTTTCGTGTATCTGTGGAGCGTGTTTTTACATACTCATAGCCTTGGGTTTGTGAAATGTTGTACTCAATCCATAATTCAGACCTTGAGTGAACACATGCTCAAGAGCATCTAACTCATGCATTAAAATTACATATTAACCCATAAAACCAAAATGGAATGCTCTAGTTGATCAAGTATCACCATAAAGCTCCAGTTTGAATACGATTTTAAACTTAGGTCTGCTTCTGTATAGCCTTCCCCTTGTCCTCAGTAGCACAATACAAATAATCAGGGTAGCAACAGGCTCGGTTAAAATTTTCCTCTTTCCAGACTCCCTTGTAGCTAAAGGCCAAGGAGACACAAGTGCAAGTCTCTGGGACGGGTTTCTGAGAAGGGTACTTACAGTGATACTCACTGGCATGCCCCTTCATCCCTCTTGCTCTCCCCTCTTCTTCCTGCCAAGCCCAGAGCTGCAGGAGCATGTAGAGACTATGGGGATGAGTGCCACGTGCAAAGGAGAGTGGAGCAAGAAAATAGGAGGAGGCTGGGTCCCCAGTGACACCCTAAATGGCTGCCCCATTCAGGTGCTACTTCCGGACTCCAAGAAACACAGAACCCCCAAGGCCTTCTAAATTGGGTTTTCTGAGCTAAATACAATCCCAGCACAGATATTGAAAAAACTGCCTCTTAAAAGCCAAATGCATAAAGGTGCAATAGAGAAGGCAGTGCAGTAACTTTATGTCCAAAGGACTCAAGGCACTTCCTGAAAGATCTAATTTATAACCTTAACATACCAGGAAATGTGTGGTCTCATATGTTTCTGGAAGAACTCACATAATAGCTACTTCTGTCAGCCAAATAATGAAAACTTCTTACATGCTAAAAACTGGCCAAATGTAAAGTGAATGTCACATAAAGATAGACAATATAGAGTCCAGAAATAAACCCGTACATTTATGGTCAACTGACTTTTGACAAAGGGGCCAAGACAATTTAAAAGGGAAAGAATGGGGGCCGGCCCGGTGGCCGAGAGGTTGGGTTCATGTGTTCCAGTTCTGTGGCCCAGGGCTTCGCCGGTTCGGATCCTGGACGCGGACACGGCACCGTTCATCAAGCCATGCTGAGGCGGCGTCCCACATGCCACAACTAGAAGGACCCACAACTAAAAATATACAACTATGTACCAGGGGGCTTTGGGGAGAAAAAGGAATAATAAAATCTTTAAAAGGGAAAGAATAATCTTTTCAATAATTGGTACCACAACAAATGGATAGCCACATGCAAAAGAATAAAGCTGGACTCCTACCTCACTTCATATATAAAAATTAACTCAAAATGGATCAAAGACCTAAATGTAAGAACTACAAGTATAAAATGCTTAGAAACAGGAATAAATCAACACTTTGGATTAAGCAATGGTTTCTTGGATATGACACCAAAAGCACAAGTTACCAAAGAAAAAATAGACAAATGAAACTTCACCAAAATTAAAAACCTCTGTGCTTCAAAGGACACAATCAAGAAAATGAAAAAACTACCAACAGAATGGGAGAAAATTTTTGCAAATCACATTATCTGCTAAGTCTAGTATTATGAATATATATAAAGAACTCCAACTCAACATCAAAAAGACAAATAATTCAAGTAAAAAATGGGGGGCTGGCCCAGTGGTGCAGCCGTTAAGTTCGCACGTTCTGCTTTGGTGGCCTGGTGTTTGCCAGTTCAGATCCCAGGCGCAGACATGGCACCGCTTGCCAAGCCATGCTGTGACAGGCGTCCCACATATAAAGTAGAGGAAGATGGGCACGGATGTTAGCTCAGGGCCAATCTTCCTCAGCAAAAACAGGAGGTTTGGTGGCAGATGTTAGCTCAGGGCTAATCTTCCTCACCAAAAAAACCCAAAAAACGAGAAAAGGGCAAAGGATTTGAATAAATGTTTCCTCAAAGAAGATATACAGTCAATACTGCATGACAAGATGCTCAGCATCATTCTTCATTAGGGAAAAACAAATAAAAACTACAATGAGATGCTGCCTCACACCCACTAGGATGGCTCTAAACAACTAAGTGTTGGTGAGGATGTGGAGAAACTAGAACCCTCACAGGTTGTTGGTGGGAATGTAAAATAGTACAGCCACTGTGGAAAAACCTGGCTGGCAGTTCTCCAGAAAGTTAAACATAGTTACCATACAGCTCAGCAATTGCACTTGCTGGTATTTAACCAAGAGAAATGGAAACATACGTCCACACAAAAATTTGTATACTAATGTTCTTGGCAACATTGTTCCTAACAGCCAAAACATGGAACAACCCAGACGTCCATAAACTGATGAACGGATAAACAAAATGGGGTCTATCCATACAATGGAATATGACTCAGACATAAAACAGAATGAAGTTCTGACATGCCACAACACGGACAGACCTTGAGGACGTTATGCTAAGTAAAAGGAGCCAGACACAAAAGAACAAATATTGTCTGATTCCATTTCTATGAGGTGCCAGGGACAGGCAAATTCAGAGACTGAAAGTAGATTACTGTTAAAAGGAGTTGGAAGTTACAATTACGAGGGCTTTAATGGTTAGTGTTTCCATTTGGGTAATGAAAAACTTTGTAAATAGCTAATGGTGACGGTTGCACAAGATTGTGAATGTAATTAATGCCAGTGAATTGTACACTTAAAAATGGTTAAAATGGGAAATTTGTGTGTATTTTATAATAAAAAAAGAAAAATGAATGAAGTACGGATACATGCTATAACATGGATGAACCTTGAAAAGATGACACTAGGTGAAAGAAACCAGACACAGGAGCTGGCCTGGTGGCGCAGTGGTTAAATTCGCACTTTACGCTATGGTGGCCTGGGGTTTGCCGGTTCAGATCCCAGGTGCAGACATGGCACCACTTGGCAAGCCATGCTGTGGTAGGCGTCCCACATATAAAGTAGAGGAAGATGGGCACGGATGTTAGCTCAGGGCCAGTCTTCCTCAGCAAAAAGAGGAGGACTGGCAGCAGATGTGAGCTCAAGGCTAATCTTCCTCAAAAAAAAAAAAAAAGAAAAAAGAAACCAGACACAAATGGCCACGATATATGATCCTATTTATGTGAAATGTCCAGAATAGGCAAATCCATAGAGACAGAAAGCAGATCAGTGGTTGCCAGGGACTAGGAGGAGGGGGTTGGAGAGGAATACGGGGGTGACTGCTAAAGAGAACAGGTACATCTTTTGGAGATGGTGAAAATGTTCTGGAATTAGTGACAATGGTTGCAAAACTTTGTATATATACGAAAAATCACTGAATTGTACATTTTAAAAGGGTGAATATTATTTCACAAAAAATTTTGAGTGTCAAATACAAGCAATAAAATTTTTCTGACATGGAATGTTAGAAATTTCTTTATTATTATTACTTATTAAGCACCAACTTAATAGTGGAGAAAATTTCAAATCACCCATCAACAGCCCATTTTTCCCTCCCCCACCCAAATTCTTGATAAAGAGCTCTTCAAGTAAAGACATGCTCTCTTCCTTCTTCTGTATAAAACTTTATGAAATAAAGGCAAAGAACCGTGTACATCTTGCTGTGAAATGCTGCCCACGGCTGTGGACGGTGTCTGCCCAGGCTCCCTTTACTGTCCAGGTCCTGAAAGACTCTTGTTCATGAACTGTCTCTTCACAAAGCAAGTCCACCACTAACAAGAGGGGACAAAACAGAACGAACGATGGTGGTCAAATCACAATGCAAATTCAAGGTTAAGGTCCGAATATGAATTTACTGACTAACAAGATTTAATATTAGTCTGGCAGCCCTTACATTATAAACTCCTCGAAAGCACATGTAAAATTTTCTTTCTTTTTTTTGAGCAACTCCCAGGTCACTCAAAATTATGACAAAATAGACATAACCCATTCAAGATAGCTCACGCAAAAAACGTGTTGTGTAGATTTACAAAACCCCGACATAAGAACATACAACCAAAATCTTTTACCATATGCAATTCATTATTCAGGGTGATTCAGTGAACACCTTCTATGCACAAGGCACATATTCAAAGTTAAGTAACACTGCAATGTGGAAACTGAAAGTATTCTTGCAATGGGAGACCTGAGTGTGTTTAATGGTGGCTACAGGATAAAAGCATCAACTAAACAGGCAAAGAGGGTCTTACCTTGCTGGGTTTATCATTCTGAGGATCAAACACTTTCTCACAAAGTCTCAGTCCAGTCTCCTGCCTCAGTTGCTGTAAGTAGGCCCTCATGACTTCTAAAATAAGGAGCAGGGAGAACAACAAAAAAAACCGTATTTGAGAATGCATCCCAAATGTGCTAGTTGCTGATCTAGACATTGACCTTGGCAATACATTCCTATATAGTCGAAAACGATAAGAAATAGAAATGGCAGGCCAAACGGTTTTATAACTATATTCATTTTGGTCCAAAACATTTTCTACATGTTATACGTGTTGCCAAGAGTCTTTTTTGAGAGTGACTAGTAAGATGATGTACATGCTAGTGATTCCACTCTCAATCTGTATACCAATCAGGGCAAGAAAAGGAGGGGGGAAAAGGTCAAATGGAGAAAATCTTGTGCCATAGAGAGAGGTGGAGACCCTGCTCTTACCATCTTCCTGTTTGTTTGCAGGTTTGGCATAAATTGCGTTAAGTGGAAAACCAGGCTCTCCAGGAATGGGAAAATTAGTGATTCCCAGTGTATACATTTCTTTCTCGCCTTGGCTTTTGGAATTGCACTGAAAAAAAAAAAATATGTGCACACACACAAGTATTTTACAGGGAAAAGATTACTAATAACTAATTTGCAGTTCTTTAGTCTAAGTAGCTACGGCTTACGTTATTAATGTTTTTGGTGCCCTTTTGCAATCTGGTGAAGCCTGTAAGCCCCTTCTCAGAATAATGTTTTAAATGAATAAGATAGAATACATAGAATCACAAAAGAAACCAATTATAGTGAAATACAATAATTATAATAAAAAACAAATTTATGACATAGTCATAAATATGCTGCTTTATTCATGAATTAAATAACAAGATCCAGCAAGGGGTTAATAACTAAATTTTGAAGTAGTAATGAGTGTAAACAAAATTTCAAAATATCTTCAACTCTAAATGTAAGAGAAAAATGCTGTGATTTCTAGTGGAGAAAAAGGCAGAGGTGTTGCTAACACTACTGTGGGCTACTGCCTACATTAATAATGAAGTGAATGCTAAATTTCAGTTAGAGGTTAATGAAAAGAAAGATGTAATCTCTTCCTACTCAAGTTCATGGACCCTTGAATTCTATCCTTGGACCCCAGGTTAAGAACCCCTGAGCCAAGGGCTTAAAAGGAGTTTTTTGGTCAAGATTTCTGTCTTGGAGGGCTGGCCTGGTGGCATAGTGGTTAAGTTTGCACACTCTACTTCAGTGGCCTGGGGTTTGCGGGTTCGGATCACGGGTGTGGACTTACAAATCACTCATCAAGCCATGCTGTGGCAGCATCCTACATACAAAATAGAGGAAGACTGGCATGGATGTTAGCTCAGGGCAAATCTTCCTCAAGAAAAAGGAAGACAAGCAATGGATGTTAGCACAGGGCCAATCTTCCTCACCAAAAAAAAAAGAAAAAGAAAAAAGACTTTTGTCTTGGGAAAACACATGCAAAAGCCTTAAACCACCACTACCCTTATCTTCTGATTTGTCAACTATTACTGTTACGTCCATGCTCTAGGTTAGAGGAAATATTTTCTACTTGTCTCAACAAGTCCAAATACCTATTATAATTTGGTTTCCTGATAGATGATCATCCAAGTTATATTACCTTTTGGAGTTTCTTCAGACACTCAGAAATGTAGAGAGTTATATATATCAAGGTCCTATCAGCTTCATTCTACAGGGGGGAAAACAAAGTTTAAAAATAGTGCTGATTAAAACATAACAATTATGTGCAATAAACGAATTCAATCTTTGCCTTTTGATTATCAACTGAACACTGTGAAAATATAGTTACTACAGCATCACAAATTCCCATGCTCCAAATGCAGTCTTTTCAAGGCCCTTTTCTGTCCGCTCCTGGGGAGGGAGCCACCAGCTTCCACCATGAGCTGTGTGGCTGATCCTGTTTGCCTCAGCTCCCCCAGCCCTGGGTTCCCGGGGAGCTGTGCAACCAGGCCCTCACTCTGTATAGGAAGGAGAGTTAACAAGGCTGCCTGGAAAACCGGAGGTGTACCAGATGGTTGGCTAATTTTTAAAAACACTTTCACTTCAGGATCTCTGCTGAGAACAGAAACATTCATGACTCTTAAAGAGGAAGCAATTAATTCACATGTGACTTGTTCTTGAAGAGCTCCATAAGCCCAATTCTTGACCCACCCAAAAGGAAAATGTGCAGAAGACAAATGGATGTTGATCAAATGTGGTATGTACTTCAGGTCAAATGTTACACAGATTTATAGTTTAAAAAAAAACAAACTACACATTTTCCTATTTTTAAGATCAGATGATATTTGAGAGAATGAAATGTGGTAGAATTATAATATTTATTTATACCTATTACAACCACAACACTTAGACCATGCATTAGACACAGAAATCACTCCGTTAATACCACAGAATGTTTACACTACAATTTGTAGACCAAGAGTCTGCAAATAAAGATTTCACACCGTTTGATTCCAAAAGGTCAAAGTTCGGCAGCAGAGGCTAAAGTTCCAAATTGTTGAATATTATCAAGAAAATGTGTGACATTCCTGGTAACTTGCTCACAGCAGGAGCTCAGAAAACCTTTTTTTCCATTTCCCCCTCTCCTTTCCTGCCATCCTCCTCCTACCTTCTCCTTGACCTCATTCCTCACAGGAACTAGGAGCAGAAGAGAAGGGGGCTGAGGCAAGGGACAGGGTCAGTGAAGTTTATTTCTCCATCTCAGATCCAAGACCCAGGAAGCATAGAAAAAATAACATAGCACATAGGATTTTCAGTCTTGGACTGGCACCTAGTAGGTGCTTAATTAATGTTGAATAAACGAAGACGTGTCCAGACCATGAGATGGCGACTTTTCGGTAAAGGACCAGACAGTAACTATTTTAGGCTTTGCGGGCTGTACAGTCCTTACCACAATTAACTCAGCTGTTGTGGCATGAAAGCAGCCACTGACAATATACAAACTAAAGCGGGTGGCTGTGTTCCCACAGAACTTTATTTACAAAAAAGAGGCAGTGGGCTAGACTGGCCCTCAGGCTGTAGTTTGCCAACCCCTGGTGTAGACTTTGGAGGAAAAATGAGAAACTAATATTGATATGGAGTCTAACATAAGGCACTGTTCTGGATTTTTAAAATCACACAACCTCATTTTCTTTTATTTACTCCTCAGAGCACCCCTGACTGCCAGGTAGATATTATCCCTATCAGAAAACTAAATTAAATATTAAAAGCTCTGTATTTTACCTTAATTTCATAGTTTTTGAAGAAGACATTGGCCTTGAAGTAATAGATGGCTTCATCCACAATATCTGTATCTTTTGCTAAGCAGGATACGAGGGCAAGAAGAGAGAGAACATTAGCCAAATACAAAACATAAAACCGAACAAAGCTACAAAAACTATATATAGCTAAGCTCAACAGTCAAGGGTTTTAGAGCTGAACAAAATAAAATGAGGCTGCTGAAATATAAAGTCTTTACAAACGATTTCTAGAAAACTAAGTACATGGTTTATTCTTATGGATATATTGTCTTTATAAAAATTATACATGCTCATTAGAAAAATAAATTAATCAATACAGGAAAAAAATTTTTAATTGTCACCCAAACCTCACTACCCAGAAATAACTACTATTAACATCTGGTGAACATCATTCCAGACATCTCTCAATGCATTTATAAAAGAGACTGAGACAGCACAGACTAACTTTAACAGAATACATTTTAAAAATGAAAAGTATTCAGGGGCTGGATGGGTGGCATAGTGGTTAGGTTCACACGCTCCACTTCAGCGGCCCAGGGTTTGCCAGTTGGGATCCTGGGCACCGACCTACACACTGCTCATCAAGCCATGCTGTGGCAGCATCCCACAGAGAAGAACTAGAAGGACATACAACTAGGATATATGACTATGTACTGGGGCTTTGGGGACATAAAAAAAAGAGGATGATTGGCAACAGATGTGAGCTCAGAGCCAATCTCCCTCATTAAAAAAAAAAAAATAAGGAAAAAAAAGAAGCCAGGCAGTTTAACATGAGAGAGGACTATGTGTCTACCATGGAGACTCCTCCATTAAAAAAAAAAAAGTATTCAATATAATTTTATTTGGATTTACATACAATAGTTTCAGGGGAAAAAACTCTCAATTGTCATGTGGGAACACACTGGGGTTACATATCCATCTTTCTTTTTATAAAAACTATGCCTTAAAATATATTTGTACAAGCTGTTCTACATGGTCAGAGACTGACGAAAGCCAGAAATACTGTTGTGACAAAGACAGATCTCATGACACAATTTCTTTGGTAATTTTTGTTTTCCTTTTTTCATTTTAAAAAGGTCAAAATCCCAGGGTCTTGATACCCGGCAGCTGGTTTCAGCAACGCAGACGGTTATTTATACTTCTCGTCTGTGACTGCCATCCCTCTCACACAGCAGAAATGCAAAGGGACCCTGCAGTTTCACTACTCTATAATTCAGCTGTCTTTATTCCTGCTCATTCTCCTGCTACGGAATTTCCACAGAATTCTATTTTCTCGTAATCTATTTTCTCATCTACAAAAAGGAAACTTCCTCAGAAGATTCAATAGTGTCTACAGAACCAGCTAATTCTTCTAAATGTAATGACGTGGGGGGTGAGGGGGAGGCCACAGGATTCAGAAGAGTGTTTGTCACATAAAAGATGTTCAAAAGGTTATCTGTTGGATATAAATAAATTAATTTGATTAATGCTAACAGTTTTTTAGCTCACAGCACAGGCTTATACGCTTCCATAATTCCAAATTAGTTCTATTCCAGTCCCCCGGGTAAGAGTAACAGGTCATTCCTCGACTACAGCAATCAGGAAAATCTGGTTTCTTGGGGTCCCATTCTCCCTCAAGGGCCCAAGAATTGCAAAGGTGGTAATTAGATTTCCTCCACCCCTAGTTAATGGAATCTTCTGACATACTATATAGTACTTTGCAATGATCTTAAAAGTGTTCTTCTCAAGGAATCTGGGCCAACATTGATTCTTATTTTTCCTTTGCTGTAATTCCTTTATATTATTTTACTTCTTTTTGGTCTGTTTTTTTTCCATCTCTTCCTTTTTCTTCATCTCAGAATCAAGTAAAGACTGCGGTGACTCACCAAGTTTATGACATTTACCGAGCTTTCGATTGGTGTTGAAAACAAAATTAAATTAAAAGAGATCAAGTCAAACACTCTGGCAGAGGAATGGAGATAGGGTCAGTACAAAATTGGTAATTAAAACCATGGTCTTAGGGGCTGGCCCCGTGGCCGAGGGTTAAGTTCACATGCTCCACTTTGGTGGCCCAGGGTTTCGCTGGTTCAGATCCTGGGCACAGACATGGCACCACTCATTAGGCCATGCTGAGGCAGCGTCCTACATGCCACAACTGGAAGGACCCACAACTAAAATATACAACTATGTACTGGGGGGATTTGGGGAGGAAAAAAAAACGCAGGGGAGAAAAAAAAAACATGGTCTTGGAGACCATGAATGGAACTCACTGCAGACCCTTTCTGGGGCAGGGCAACCATGTCTAATGTCAGACAAATTACACGGTTGGCAGAACATCTCAGGATGTGTCAGAAGAGTCTCACATAGTGTATGAAAAGGATGGAGCTTTCTCAACAGTAAAAAATGGTTAAAGAAAAGAAAGTGAATGCCAAGAAAGAAAGCAAAGATATAAAATTCAGAAAGCAAAAGAAGAAATGAGTAATATTAGATAGGACACTTAAGATTTAAGATCAAGGTATTGCTAAAAATGAAGATCCTGAAGAATGGAGAAAGGAAGCAGATTTAGATGGGGAAGAGGTTAAAATATGTTTTTTTTTCCATCGTGATGACAGAGAAAGGATGAGGACATGGCATTTTACAGAAGTAGCAGCATTAGCTCAGTTTCAAAGAACTGACTGATAGGGATGATAGGAACAGTGTCAAGAATTAAGAACATTTTTTCTTTCCCTTCAACAAAATATCCTGGAGAAATGAGCAGCAATAATAATACAGTTCCCCATTAGATGCAACATATACCCATGATCTTGAAAGGTCTAGAAAACAGTATCTGCCAAGCAAATAGAAAATACAAAAGCAATCTGAAGCAGAAGACTGAGCTCAGAATTTCCCCAATTTGATGTCAGAGGGTCGCGGGATGTTTCATACCCAAATCTGAAAATAATGGAAAGGGGTTTCAACTTACTCTCTCTAGGGGCAGGTCCTTTGAATTGACTTCTGATGGGCAACAGTGCCATGTTTCCAATGAGTTTAGTGTCAGGGTCCATGAGAGAAGAGTGGTAAGCCTGTAGTGGCAAGCCAGGTAAGAATATAGAAGCAAAAAGAGAGCAACGTCAGCAGGGGAGACAAGAACATTTCCTCAAAGGGAAAAAGACAGCAACCACTCCAAGATTAACTAGGGGATGAGGCAGAGGGATGGTGGCAGCCACGTGCTGTGGCTGGCTCTCACTGGCTCATGAAAACTGTTAAATTTTGAGCCAAGTTGGTTGTTGAACACAGCCATTATTACAAATTAAAATTATACAAATTTACAGTTAAATAAACAGTATTAAAAACAAAGGTAGGGCCAGCCCAGTGGTGTAGTGGTTAAGTTCGCATGCTCCGCTTCAGTGGCCTGGGGTTCGTGGGTTTGGATGCCGGGAGCAGACCTACACACCACTCATCAAGCCACACTGTGGCAGCATCCCACAGACAAAATAGAGGAAGATTGGCACAGATGTTAGCTCAGGGACAATCAGCAAAAAAATTTAAAAACCACATCCACCAAAGGTAATAAATAGTCAAAATTCACAACTTCCTATTTTTAAAAGTTGTTTTACTACTGTTTACCATCTTAAGGTTATTTATGTCTTGGTATCTTTATGGTGGAAATACTATACAATGGGGTGCTACTGTGCATCTCTTCCAGTTCCATGTTCACATTGCTAAGTGGTAGGAGTATCCACACTACAGAAATAGGCAAACACGATATTAATTAGGGGTACCCCTCCCCCAGCTGTTGTTAAGCCAGAACCTAAGCACTGCTTTTCAGCTCTGCCACTTCCTGGCTTGGTGTTTGACCACGACATCACTTTTCTTCTCTTAGCCAGTCTCCAAGTTTGTAAAATGAAGAGATATATACTGCCTTCAGTGAGTAGGTGTGAGTTAAAGGAGGGGAAAAAAATCAAATTAATGAGAGCAATTTGTATGCTGATTCCCAGTTCTGCTTTTTACAAGATGTCTGGCTTTTTGTAAGACAACACGGGCACCATTCACGAATTCATTCATTCACAAAACGATTACTAAGCACCATCTATGGGCAAGGCACAGTGACATAACAGGATGCAAGCCCAGTATGGTTTCCACCCTTGAAGAACGTTCAGGCTCACGGAGAAGACAAATATTAAATAAGGGATCACAGGGGAAGTCCAAGGTACTCTGCGCAACTGGAATGAGCACAGGGCTTTAGGGTCCTGGCTTAAAATCTGGTTTGTGCGCAACCTTGGGCAAGTTACTTATCTTCTCTGAGCCTCATTTCCTCCTCTGCAAAAGGAGAGAACAATAACATATCTACTTCACAGGGTCACCGTGAGGATTAAATGGGATAATTTATATAAAGCAGGCAGCTCAGGCCTGCTGGCACACGTCAGGAGTCAAATGGTAGCTATGCGACTCATAAGATATACATCTCTAAGTATGGCTTGCTCCTTTTTGTCACAGGTATGCTTCATTTAAAGCAACCTCCACCCTCCCCTTCATGTTTTGTTACCCATCTAGCATTTCCTTGATGGCATTTTTCACTGTCTGAAACGATCTCCTTTATTTTATTTACATTTACGTGTTAATTGTTTGTCTCCCCATTAGAGGTAAACTCCTTCAGAGGAGGGATTTGCTGGGCTCATTCAGTGCCGTAACAGTGCTCGGCATGCAGCAGGTGCTCAGTAATGTTTGTCGTCTGAATAAGCCCATGTTACTGAACCTCCTTTTTCCTAATCTGTAAAATGTAGACCATGATGGCAATAAATCTACCCCCCAGACTGGCTGTCAGAAATTAAGAGCAACCAGACCACCGTCAATTTCGCTCCTACTCCGAAGCACAAGAAGACAGAAACATCTGGGAACCAGGCGCGGACCTGAGTCTGCTCTGGGGCCCTAAGCCCAGCGGCTCAGGGGTGGCCGTCACCGCCGGGGGACGGGGGCGGAGTCCGGGAAGCGGGGTTCGACAGGCACGAGCTGCGGGAGGGACCCGCCCCCTGGGGCGAAGGAGGAAGTGGGCCCCCAGGAAAAAAGGAGAAGCCGGACCCCGGACTTGAAAAATGAAAAACAAAACGCGCAGCCCTTGGCTCCTGGCTCTGGGGAAGCTCGGGGGACCCTGCCGGAGCCGGGGGTGCAGAACGGGCGAGAGAAGGCGTCGGGACTGGAGAGAAGGGGGCGGGAAGGGCCGGGCAGCCTCCTCCGCACGGCCCTGGTCTCCGGGCGCTCGGCCGCGCCCCCGCCCCCACGGCCGACACCCCGGGCCGCCCCAATCCTGCAGGCACCGGCCCCCTCCCCTCGGCCTCCCCTTCTCGGCCCCTGCTTCCTCTCTGCCCTCCTCGGCCCGCTTCTCTCGGCGCATGCACGACTTCTTGCTGCTCTCCCCAATGCTCGCCGTCTCCCCGCATCCCCAACTCGGCCGCCTTACCGGCATCTTGACGGCGCCGCGGTTCCAACCCAGATGAGGAAGACGGGGTTAGAGCGCGGCGCTTCCGGTCTGGCGGCCCAGGCGGGGCAGGCGGAAGTGAGCCGGAAGGGGAGGCCTCCACGCTTCCGGCCTTGCGGTCCCGCCTCTGGGTGCTGCGGCTGCGTGGAGCCGAAGGCGCGCCAGGGGGCGCCCGAGCAGCAGGCAGGGGCTGAGTGTCGCGCATGCGTGAGGCCTGTGCGACAGGGAGCTGGGTCTTGGTGTTAGAGAATCTCAGTGATTAGTCGCCTCCTTTGTTTTTCTTCAGAGATCACCTTCTCAGTGAAGCATTCCCTGCGTCACACTATTTTAGATTCAGCCCCACTCCAACTCCCTTGCCTCACGCTTCTTTCCCTTAGTTCTTATGATTCTTTTATGGTTTACTTTTGGTGTTTGTCTCCCTGTCTCCCCATTCATGTGAACGTCAAAAACGCAGGGATTTTGTCCGTTTTGTTCACTGCTGTATCTCCCGTGCCTATTAACAGGCATGGTACTTAGTAAGCACCAATAAATACTTACTGAATAAGCGAACCCAACCCACTGGTTTTAACAATGGGGAAAGGAGAGCACAGGGAAGAAGGGGTTCGCAGTTCTTTGTAATGCTGCAATACTGCAATGGTTGAGCAAGTGGACTCTGGGTTTGAAGCCCAGCTCTGACACTTACTAGCTGTGTAATTTTGTGCAAGTTATTTAACCTCTCCGCACCTCAAGTTTCCTCACCTGAAAATGGAGATAACTACTTCAGTTTTGTGGGGTTGAAATGAATTGCATATCAAGTACTTAGAACTTAGATGCCTGGAACATACTAAAAGCTCAGGAGTTTTTACTGTTACTAGAAATCACGGGCTGTTTCATTGCTGTTCGTTGCTGCTTTGGGCCCTTTCTTCTGCCAGACCCTCAGACTGGAATACTTTGCCCCATGTTCCCACAACTGATTTCTCGTTTAGGTCTCTGGCCAAATAGCACCTATTAGGAGGCTTCTTTGCCAACGAGCCCAAAGTAGCCCCTTAGCCTCTCTCCATTTTTTTTTTTTTTTTTTTTTTTGGTGAGGAAGATTAGCCCTGAGCTAACACCTGTGCCAATCCTCCTCTATTTTGTATGTGGGATGCCTCCACAGCATGGCCAACAGGTGGAGTAGATCTGCACCTGGGATCTGAATGTGTGAACCTGGGCCACCAAAGTGGAGCATGCAGAACTTTAACCACTCGGCCATGGGGCTGGCCCCTCATTACTGTTTTATTTTCCCATTTCTTATCAGAGAAATATCTTAAAATTTCTTATCAGAGTTTATGGTTAGTTTCAAGGGCCCCGCACATCAGCTCCATGAGAGGCCTTGCTGCCTTAGGGCTCCCTTTTCATCCCCAGTGCCTGGCTCCCACCAGGAAATTTGTCCAAAGAATCACACTGGGTTCTCCTACAAGACAGTGAAATCCTTGATGACTGGAACTGTCATATTCATCCGAAACCCCAGTGTTCAGAGGGGAAGGAAGTGGAATCTGGCCCTTCACTTCTTGCCCAAAGGGACAAACCAGACTCTCCAGATACAGCTCAAGGAGCAATAAGGAAGGCTAGTGAAAAGCTACCTTTTCTTTCTTCCCTCCCATGTGACAAAAAAATTTCTAAAAATTAGCAACACAGGGAGCTCAGGGTATTTTCACACTTCCTGTACTCTAAGGGCCACCAAAAAAGTCCCCAGGCAGGGCAGCACATGCCCATGTTGCCTACTCATCAAGTTCTCCGACTGCCCCTGGGAGACAAGCTCACACCAACCGGCCACGGAGCAATGCCTGACTCCTGCCCCTAGCCTGGGCACCCAGGCACAAGTTACCTCTGATAGATGTGGCTCCTCACGTTTTTCATCTTAAATAAAATGGACCATATCTGACCCTGCAGGTGTACTTCTGCTACTTAGGTCCAAGAATGATTAAAAATTTAACCTGAGTTGCAGGTTTTCTATAAGGGATTACATTGTATCAGTTGGAAAATTCAATGCCAAGTGACCGATGGAGCCTGGGCCTGCGTATGAGCATTAAATGAACCAGATTATTGAAAATGCTTCTTAGCACAATGCCTGGCAGAACTTGATAATTGAGATTCCATTTTGCTTTAGCAGGGTCTGGCCTATAGTGGGTGCTAGAGAAACATCTGTTGACTGACCAGCCATTCCCCATGCTTTCCACTCAACCTAAATGCACTTAGAAATACTGAAAATAATTCAATCAATGTGACAAGAAGAAACAATGACATCCTTTGCATTTCTGTGTACATCTGCCATTATTCAAGGAAAGCATACATTTTTAAACTCTCAGAGACCATACACTGCATTTTTAAAGAAATCGCTGCCTACATTTTGACACTTTGGGAAATTTACTCATTCAAAAATTTGGTGAGTACTTCAAATTCTGACTAGAAAATACCAGTGTAATGAAAAGTTGGTGCTATCTTTCTGTTTCTTTTATTTATATACACATATCTTAAAACATACTTTTCATCTTTTAATTATACAAATAATACATTTTCAATGTAGGAAAACTGGAAGATTCAGATAAGCAACGATCATATCTATATTCTTCCAGATTTTTCCCTTTGGACAGACATATGTATATTTGTTACAATTAATTACTGCCCCTCCAAAAAAACCTTCAAAAATAACAAAAATCAAACAGTAAAAATAAAGGTAGACTGGTCTTAATTATACCACAGGTGCTAATTTATATTATATACAAATCTATGTGCATTCTTTTCAATTTTGCCTTTTAAAATCTAAATTGATGCAGTCAAAATAATACTAAAAGATTCCACTTTCAACAGCAGTAGGTTCAGAATAACTTAGAACGTGATTCAGGCATGCTGCTGATAAAAAGCCCATTAAAATAAGTAGCTTTCTGGTATTGCATCCTCTGAAGAGAAGAATATTCTGTTGGTTCAGCCACAAGCTCTTCACATATATAGTTACTTTTTAATAAATTCCTCATTCATTCTGGCATTCTTGAAAATATTCATCAAACATAGAAGTAGACTCATCTTCATGTTCCTGACAAAAGGAAATACAAAATAGAAAATACATTCATTTCCTCTCAGTTAGACCCAGTATGTGCTACCTATTTTCCAGGCAATGCTCTAGAAAGAGCCGATGCTCAGCAGCAGCTCCACGTGTTGTTTATAGTGACAAAAGGCACGACTGATAGAATTTTCCCAGCTATGCGGTAAACTAAAGTGCTATATTTCATGAGAAGCATTTCTTACTTGAGTTTACGCTCACACCAATTCTCAGCTAATCTGCTGTGACAGTGCCCTATTGACAACTATCATCGGTCCTTCCACTGACATACAAGAGGGCAGCCCAGGTTCAACTGGATTTCACCTCCTCTTTGCACATATCCCCAAGCTCTGAGGACAGAGAAACTTAGCTCAATAATATTGCCTCAGTAACGGGTAGAGTACAACTGACACTGCCTGTTGACCACAGGTATCAATTTCAGAGATCACCCAGAAAGCCCAGGTTACTGCTGCCACTGAGACAAAAATTAATTTAAGGAGCTGCTGAGGTTATGCAGGATGGCCAGTGAGCACTGGCAAATATTTTTACCGAAAGCCAATAATCAAAAATTACCTTTGGTTCTTTGAATTCTAAGTCTTCTCCATACTGAATGGCAAAATCAATATGCTGTAATACAATGTTCATGCTTTCTTCATCTGATTGATCGTAAGGCAAAAATCGAACCATGCTGTAGTCGTCAATCTACAAGGGTAGGATTTCAGAAAGGGTCATTCTCAAGTTGTACAAAATACTTAATTTTCAACTCCTGGTTGACCTTATAACCATTTATACTTCTGATTAAAAACATTTGTGCGGCAGGGAGTGGGGTGGAGGGATAGAGGCAGAACAGCAGCAAATCATCGATTTTCCTAACCTACTAGAATACTCAACTTACTGCCTAAGTAGACACTTACTGTTTCATAACTATTTATCTATGAAAATGTAATATATATATAATACCTATGAAATAATTTCTAGGTATTCAACAACCACTGGAAATTTTAAAGATTTTATTTTTCCTTTTTTCTCCCCAAAGCCCCCCAGTACATAGTTGTGCATTTTCAGTTGCGGGTCCTTCTAGTTGTGCTATGTGGGATGCCACCTCAGCGTGGCCTGATAGGCGGTGCCATGTCCGTGCCCAGGATCTGAAGCGGTGAAACCCCGGGCCGCTGAAGCGCAGTGTGTGAACTTAACCACTCGGCCACGGGGCCGGCCCCACCACTGGAAATTTTAAACAAGCAAAGATAGTTTGGAACTCTCAAAATTGCTTGGAATAATAGACATGTCAGTTAATTTATTAGCTACCACCGACTACTTCTAAATTAAATTACTGACCAGCCAGCCCACAGGCTCCCACAACCCTCCTCTCCTTTGCAAGAAAACAGGGTGGGACTGTGCTTTTCCAACCTGACGAAGTCATTTAAAAAAAGAAAAACTTAAAAAGCTTACCAGTCCACAGATAGCTTTAGTCAATTTTTTAAATTTTTTGCTCCTTAAGTCACTTGTAGAATCATCCAATAAAGAATACATGTCTGGATCTAGAAACCTTTAAAAGTGAGATGAATAAAAGGAAGGATAATCAGCAAACTAGATTTATAGACTGACGGAACCTCACATCTCTACCTGAGATCTGATGATAACAAAAGACGTGAACTCACTTCTCAATTTCCTTTTTTGCTTTCTTACTCAGCAGATCCATTTTTGTCATGATGTTAACTTGTGGAACTTCTAGAGAGATCATAGCACTCAGGGCTGCCAAGATGCCAGAAATAAACTGAAGGAGGAAACAGAAAAGAGAAGATGTTGCCATTGAAGTTCCTTGGTCCCCACATAAAAGACAGGCTTCTGCTCCTCACTGGCAGAGAACTGGCTCATGTGAAAAAAATGCTAATCTTAAAGACAGTGCACTGCTCATCTTCCAAAGATGAGGACCAGGGGGGAAGAGGTAGATTTCATCTACAGAGCTCACAAATCTCAATTTAGATGGTATCTTTAAGCCCACTTCCCATCGAATATTCCTTAAGAGCTATTCATGAGAAATAAAGTTTTAGATAGTTCATAAACTAGACAAGAGGTCCTCAGAAAATTAAAAATAGACATAAAATATGCATCTGTCTCATTTTTCTCGGTAAATACTTTCCCCAAATCTATAAGATATCATAATGTACCATTTTGGAGTTAAAAATAATTTAATAATAAGGGATACTAAATAACTCTGGAGTATAATTTCTGAAATGTCCAGAATCACACAATTAAAGGAGATTGTCATCTGTTTGTACTCATGACTGAAAAATCAACAAGAGATTTATCCTCAAACCTTGAATGACTCCACCATGAACTGAGAATCAACAAGAAAAACTCCACAGACTCGGAACTCCCACTGTTCTAGCTGCTGGACCAGCTGTTTCATCACGGGCAGGTGGGTGTACAACTCAATCTGACCTACATAAAGAACATTACAAGACTATTACAGTCAGGAAATACGTTAAATCATCAAATTACAGGAAGAAATTTTTCTCATAATATGGTTAAAAAAGGAAGTTAAGGGACTGGCCCTGTGGCTGAGAGGTCAAGTTCACGCACTCCACTTCCAGAGTTTCACTGGTTCGGATCCTGGATGCGGACATGGCACCGCTCATCAAACCATGCTGAGGTGGTATCCCACATAGCACAACCAGAAGGACCTATGACTAGAATATACAACTATGTACTGGGGGTCTTTGGGGAGAAGAAGAAGAAGAAAAAAGACTGGCAAGAGACATCAGCTCAGGTGCCAATCTTAACAAAAAAAAAGGAAGTTAAGGGGCCAGCATGGTGGCATAGTGGTTAAGGTCACACACTTTGCTTCAGCAGCCTCGGGTTTGTGGGTTCGGATCCTGGGCACAGACCTACACACCACTCATTAAGCCATGCTGTGGTGGCACCCCACATAAAAAACTGGCACAGACATTAGCTCTGGGACAATCTTCCTCAAGCCAAAAAGAGGAAGGGGCCAGCCCCATGGCCAAGTGTTTGGGTTCCCGCGCTCTGCTTTGGCGGCCCGGGGTTTTACCAGTTCAGATCCTGTGCATGGCACCCCTTGTCAGGCCATGCTGAGGTGGTGTCCCACAGAGCACAGCCAGAGGCATTCACAGCTAGAATATACAAGTATGTACTGGGGGGCTTTGGGGAGAAGAAAAAAAAAAGAAGATTGGCAACACTTGTTAGCTCAGGTGCCAATCTTTAAAAAAAGAAGTTAACCCCTGGTAGTAGTATATTCATTTTTAAGGGATCTAACAGTGTCTTGAAGCAATCATAAAATCTAAGGTACTGCCACCAGGGGAATCCCAAAGAAACTCTTCAGTTTTCTGTAGAAAATGAGGCTTTTGCTGATCAAAAGTGAGTGCTACAAAGGTGTATGCAGTTTGGGAATACTCATCAAGCGTACACTTAGGACATCTGCACTTTTCTGTGGGTGTTATGTATGTCCAACTAAAAGGAAGGGGGAAAAAAGTGAGAGCCACAAATGATCACAGCTAGGTTAGGCTCAAGTCTAAAATTCACAACCTGGCTTAAGAAGTCATGTGTCTGTGCCCTACCAGCCTCACCTCACGACACTTCCCTTCGTTTACTGTGCTCCAGCCACACCAGCCCTTTTGGTGCTTCAAACTCGCCTCGCTCCTTCCTGCCCCAAGGCCTACAGCATGCTGTGCCCTCTGCCTGGAGCACAGTGTCCCTCACCTTCAGCCTGTGGCCCAGCTTTCAGGCCGCCGGATCAGAATCCTCCTGAACCTCCCTGTTACGGTATGGTCTGTGCTACGCCTGTGGGGCAGCTATCACAAATGAATATGAAATAATCATTCGGGTGGTTTTTGTTTATGCTGTCTAGCACTCCCACCTGACTCTGAGCTCCACGAGGGCAGAGACCAAGGCTACTTGGCTCTCTATGGTATTCCCAGTGTCCAAAGTGAAGCACCCAGTAAACTCAATGAATGATTTAGAGCCAACGAATAAGAGCTTCTGTACCTTACCAGAGTATAGTTTAGAGATACGAGTGCTCACTCTGCTTTCTCCCACTGAGGACAGAACTGGCGTGACCTCAAGGAACATAACACATTGAAACTGATGACTTACCTGGACAGTCAAAAAGGATGTAGTCGTCCTCCACATGGCCAAGACAGTTCTCTAGCCAGTCAAAATTATTGGCAAAGTACTCCATGCAAAATACCAATCCTCCATTAGGACCGAACCGCAGAGAACCGTCCTCCATCACATCGTCCACCTCGATCAGTTCCCGGATGTCTGCAAAGGAGAGACAGGGCCCAGAATATAAGACTGTCTGTTTGAAAATTGTTATCCTTGCTAGTGATAATTAGCAATTATATAAAAACTCACATGTATGAGAATTTCTGTACATAGTTATTCACTGCAGCAGTGTCCGCTGGAACTAATTAAATAAATTATTGTTTAGCCTGACAATGGAATCTATGCAGCCATAAAAAGGAAAAGCTCTTTAAGCATGGATATGATATGATCTCCCAGGTATACTGTTAAGTGAAAAGTGCAAGATGCAGAACTCTGTAAGAAAGCCATCATTTGTGTGAAAAAGAAAAAGAGACAAAGATTCACCATACATATACACTAATATACATATTTGATTTTATATGCATAGCCTCTCTAAAGACACATCAGAAACTGGCAAAACTGGCTGTCTCCAGGGAGGGGAGCCGATGACCTGGACACGGAGCTGGGAGGGAGACATTTTCCTGCATACTTATTCTTTTGTAACTTTTGCATTTTGAACCATGTGAACACACACTACCTACTCTAAAACAAGTAAAACAAAACCAAACCAAGAAAACCAATTACCATCTCTTTAACACAACTCCAGGGAAGCTACTTAACCTCCCTGTGCCTCACTTTCCTTATTTATAAGATGGAGGGCAAATCATATATCCTGGGGTAGAAGGGTGAGGACTATAGGAGATAACATGGCTAAATCACCTACAGCAGGGACTTAAAAAATTCTGGTATATGTATGGGTCTCTTTTATTACTAATTTTTGGAAATCAGTATTTATAACTTTCTGTCGTAGGTGTTTATTTTTGTGCTTAAATCTACAATCTCCACTTAGAACTGTGCCTCACTCATAGCCATGTTTATATGGATCACATCTACCCATGTACTTTCCCAGGGATAAACATCTAACCCAAGCTGGGACAATAAGAGTGGTCACCTAGGGGCTGGCCCCGTGGCCGAGACCTTAAGTTTGTGTGCCCCACTTTGGAGGCCCAGGGTTTTGCTGGTTCAGATCCTGGCCGCGGACACAGCACCACTCGTTAGGCCACACTGAGGAGGCGTCCCACATGCCACAACTAGAAGGATCCACGACTAAAATATACAACTATGTACTAGGAGGATTTGGGGAGAAAAAGCAGGAAAAAACCAAAAAGAAGATTGGCAACAGTAGTTAGCTCAGGTGCCAATCTTTAAAAAAAAAAAAATTGGTCTCCTAAAAGGATGACTCAAGGACACTAGTCAGTCAGTAAGACACCTGGATCAGAAAGCAATGTGAACCTGGGGTTCGAGGGACTTTGTCGGGCCACGTGAATCCTAAAGCTGAGAAGGGTGGTCCGTAAGGGAGAGAAAAAGACAGAGACAGACAGAAAGCTGGCCTTGGTTCCTGTTATTTTTCGTGTTTTGGGTTATAGTCTCTCATAAAGCTTTGATCTTGGGTTTTGTAAGAGGTCCCCGATTCCTTCTAATAAATCTTCCTTTTATGTGAGCTAGCTTTAGTACTTTCTGTTGGGGGCAACCAAACGATCCCTCAGCAGTGCCATGCCTCGTTCCTCAAGGAAGATGACTATCTCACCCCTCCTCTCTCTTCAACTTGCCTCCCCCACCCCACCCCACCGCACCCACTTCCAGCCACTCTCAGCTGATGACCACACATGGCACTAACAGAAATCAGAAACCAACAAAAGAGAATTCCCCACATTCCCACCACCAATATTACACGATGCCTTCTGCCCTGTCTTCCCTCCTGTTACAGCAGAAGAAGTACCCCTTCCCTAGCGAAGGTCCCGTGTTGGGGACGCCCTTCCTTTCTCATTCTTGCAGTCACCCCTACAGTTACTGCCACTCTCTGGCATCTTCAGTTTCTTGCTATGGGATCCTTCTCTTTGGCACTCGAGTCCATTCCAGGTGCCATATCCAGTCTTAAAACAAAACCTCCCTTGACTGTCACACCCCCCACTCCAGCTATCATTCTATTTTTCTACTCTTTTTCACAGCAAAACTTCCTCAGTGAGTTGTCTCCTCTCAGCACCTACTCTGTGTCACGTCCAGTGTACTCTTCAGACCACTCCAATCTGGCTTTCATCCCTACCACTCCACTGAAATCTCTCATCAAAGTCACCAACATCTCCACGTCCCCACATCTAACAGCCACTCTGTCCTCATCTTACACAACTTCCCAGCTGTATCTGACATAACCAACCATCAGCTCTTTCCTGAAACAGCCTCTCCTCCTGGCTTCTGTGACGATTCATTTTCCTGACTTTTCTCCTACCTTACTGACTCCACCTCCTCTACCAGACCTCTGAAGGTTAGATGACTACAAGGCTCAGTCTTGGGTCCTTCTCTCTAACCATACTTCCTCCCAACACGTTCTCATCCAGTCCTGTAGCTTTACATTTTATCTCTATGCTGCTGACGTTCAAATTTATATCTCCAGGGCAAACCTCGTCCCTGAATCCCAGACTATTACATCCACTTGCCTCCTTGATTCATTATCTATCAGACATCTCAAACTTAGTAAGTTTGTAAGTAGGCTTGAGAACCGCCCCAAACCTAAACTGACTTGTCTTCCTCCTCAGTAAATGCTGTCATGCACTTAGCAGCTCAAGACAGAAACCTCAGAGTCACCCTTGATTCCTCCTTTTCCTACACACTTCCGGTTCAATCTCCCACAAGATGCTGCTAATTCTACTTGCAAAATATATAACGAATCTGCGTGCTCCTTCACATCTCCCCCATGACCATCCTTGTCCAAGCTGTCTAGACAACTACAATAGCCACACTGCTGGGCCCTGCTTCTACTCTTGACCTTTCAGAGTCCATTTTTCATCTGAGAGTTAGAGTTATTTTTAAAAACATAAATGTCAGGAGCTGGCCCCATGGCTGAGTGGTTAATTTTGCGCACTCCACTTCGGTGGCCCAGGGTTTCACTGGTTCGGGTCCCGGGTGCAGACATGGCACCGCTCATCAAGCCATGCTCAGGCGGCATCCCACATAGCAGAGCCAGAAGGACCTACAACTAGAATATACAACGATGTACTGGGGGGGTTTTGGGGGAGAAGAAGAAGAAGAAGGAAAAAAAAAAAAAGACTGGCAGCAGATGTTAGCTCAGATGTCAATCTTTAAAAAAAAAAGGAAAAACATAAATGTCAATCCTCTGCCCTGCTTAAAACCCTCTAATGGCTTTCCACTGTTGACAGGTGCTACAGATGGAATGTTTGTGTCCCCTCAAAATTCCTATGTTGAAAAACTAATGCCCACAGTGATGGTATTAGGTCGGGGCCTTTGAGAAGTAATTAGGTCATGAGGGTGGAGCCCTCATGAATGGGATTTCTGCTCTCACAAAAGAGACCCCAAAGACATCCCACCCTCCCTTCCATCATGTGAGGACACAGCAAGAAGCTGGCGGTCTGAAACCCAGAAGAGGGCCTTCACCAGAACTTGACCACGCTGGCACCCTGATCTTAGAATTCCAGCCTCTAGAACTAAGGGAAATACATGTCTGTTGTTTCTAAGGCGCCCAGGCTGTGGTTTTCTGTTATAGCAGCCTGAAGGGATGAAGAAAACAGGATAAAATCCAAACTTCTCATGTCCTACCAGCTCCTATACACTTCTTTTCTTCATTCATTAGGTTCCAGCTCAACAAAACCTTTTCTTTTTCTGGAACATACCAAACCCTTTCCCATCTCTAGGCTATTTACTGACTTTAACCTTGGAAAGCATTTCCCCAGCTTGGTGAGTACATTACCATCCTCAGGCCTAAGCCCAAATATCCCCTCCTCAGAGATGTCGTCCCTGACTACCCTACCTAAATCAACCTCCCCCAGTTACTCCTCCTCATCAGACCATTTGCAGTCCTTATCACAATCTCTAACAGGTTTACCGTTTTGCTTATTGCTTCTCTCCCCTGCTAACAGGTCCATGACAGCAGGGGTAGTATCCGTCTTGTTCTCTGCTATAACCCGGGTGCCTGGCATAAAGTAAGTGTTCAACAGACATCTGAATGAATATATTAAAAGAATTTAAAAAAGCAAAACACTTAGGCTGCTCACTCATAGTATGATCAGCAGTATACCACATTCGCCACAGCAGGACTATGCACGAAAGGGAGAGAAGGAAAAGGTGATGAGGGAGGAATCTACTCACTCGTAATTCTTACATCAAAGACCAAGAAAGGATACTGTCACGTACATCACCGTGAGTGGACGTCACCAAATGACATCCAGCCTCATGCTGTTCCCCATGAAACCAGGGGACCAGACTGTAATAATTAATTGTTGGCTTCTGTGCTGAGCAGCCAGTACTCACTGCCTCCCGACCCCCTTATTTTTGCTGAAGGAGGAGGAAGGCTCTCCTCAGGACTCACCAGCCATCACGGGGTAGTTGAAGTGTTCTGCTGCAGGATCTAGGTTCACAACTTGGACAGACCGATTGAGGGCTTCACAGTGCTGGACCATGGTGGCACAGTAGGTGCTCTGCAACGTCACAAGGCATGAGGGGTCAGAGCAACAGGCAGTGTACTGCTACTGCCTGCACCCCTAGAAGGACTCTCTACACCCCTTGGCAAGTGTCTACTACGGCTAAAATTATGCCTTCATTGAGTAAGAAGCTGACTCAAAATGGAAAAGGCGCTGGGCTGGGAGTCAGGACACCAGAGTGCGCTGCAGATGCCTGGCCCGGACTCAAGGATAATTTGGGGGAAGCTGCTTCTCCACACTGCCCCTCAATTTTCTCATCTCTAACTAGAACGACCTCCATGATCACTAAGGCTCCTTACTGCTCTAAGGTGCAACAAATGGAATTTAAAGGAAGTATTTCTGGTTACACAGTCCAGCTGCTAACACACAGTGTCTCCACTAGGACTTGAATGGTCCAAACAAAGCTTTAGGTAGGGTGGTCAGAGACCATTTCTCCGAGGAGGGGATATTTGAGCCGAGGGATGGGGATGTGCTTGCCAAGCCAGGGGACGAGCACACCAAGATGAGAGAACTTTGAGGTCAGTACGTAGCATGGAGCTGGCCTACCAATTTGCAGCTTTTGGTTTACAGAATTCTTTATTCCTCATGTAGTCATTACTACACTATGTTAAAAATCTCTAGGCTACTTGTCTGTCTCTCCCATCCTCTATTTAAAAGCAGGGATGTGTCTTATTCAGTTTTATAAGCCCAGGGACTAACTAGCACAATACCTGATACATACTAAATGCCTGATAATGATTTCTAATTGAGTGCCTTAATATGTTTGAACATAAACTCCACAAGGGCAGATATTTTCTTACATGCGTTTTATTCAGTAACAAAATCCTCAAGGGCCCAGAACAGTGCTTAGCATAAAGAACATGCTCAACAAGTATTTCCTTTCTTTTTTTTTTTGAGGAAGATTAGCCCTGAGCTAACTGCTGTCAATCCTCCTCTTTTTGCTGAGGAAGACTGGCCCTGAGCTAACATCTATGCCCATCTTCCTCTACTTTATATGTGGGACGCCTGCAACATCATGGCTTTTGCCAAGCGGTGCCATGTCCGCACCCGGGATCCGAACTGGCGAACCCCGGGCCGCTGAAGCAGAACGTGCGAACTTAACCGCTGCGCCACCAGGCCGGCCCCTCAACAAGTATTTCTGATAGTAGGCATCAAAAATTTATAGAAAGATACTTATCTAACACAATCAGTACAAAAGTCAGTCTAGAACATAGAAATAACTTCTGGCACGCTTTCCCCTCAATGATTTTACACATACTATTCTCTCTGCCTAGGAAACCCTCTCCATGCATCACACTGTATTTTAATTGACAAGTCACGTATCTGTATTTCCAAACAGATTATAGGCTCTGCGTAGGCAAGGGCCACATCATAGTCACATGTATATCTCCTGCACCCAGAATAGGGCAAACCTCAGAACAATATGTTAAAGGTTTAAGCCACACAAGACCTCCATAGACTCGAGTGTTTCCCACACTCCTGTGAATTGACCAATATCTTCACCATTTCTACCAATCTGAATGACCCTAATTTACTCCCTTAATATTTGTTTACAAGAAAAAGTTGTATCTCTACTGTAAACAGGAAACCAGTTATACTTATCATAACGTGAAGGTAACCATAAAATTAAATACAACTTTAAAGCTCGTTTCACTGTAGCTAAATAAAATTGCCTGTCAAAAGCTCTAAGATCTGCTCTCTGAAAAGACTTTAAAGAAGTGTTGAAGATACACTAGCATCAAACTCACAATTCCACCTCAATGCAAACTGAAAGAAAACTGAAAAGGGAGCACTTTTCTCAATATATGATTCAATGCTCATTAATGTCAGGCCCGTGTACCTTCTAAGATCGCCACAAATACCAAAAATCCGTGTCTCAAGCTCTGAGAAACAGTGATTAACGAGACCCCACTTTATCCTCCTGGGAGGGATACAGGGCTAGATTCCGGAGGCAGAAAAAAACAGATTCAAATTCCAGCTGCCACTTACGAGCTGTGTGATCCTGGGCAAAGAACTTAACTTTTCTGTGTCTCATTTTTCTTATCTGTAAAATAGGAATAATAGGACATCCCACAGAGGGATTGTGGAAAATAAATGAGACGTTTAGCGCAGTATATGAGGCAGAAGCACACAATAAATATTAGCAAGTATCATTACTTTCCTTTCAACACAACAACAAAAAGGATACTGAAGCCCAGACTGTAGAAGCGACCTGCCCAGGGTCTCGGGGTCAGTCCCCTATACACACACCCGCCGGTCCCTCCCTCAGAACCTGAACCTCTCTGCCTCCCACGAACCCCGACTTCTCTCCCCTTCTCCCGCCAAATCCTCACCTTCCCGCTGCCGGCGGGACCCATGACCAGCTGCGCATAGCGAGGCATGCCGGCTCCCCGGTTCCGGCGCCCCCCGCACCACAGGACGAGCAGCCGGACCCCCAAGCTCCCTTCAGCCTTCGCGCGACGCCCTCTGAGTTCCGGGAACACGGCGTGCGAGCTAATCGCAATCCAAATTCCTTTTGTGCCTTCTGTTCTGCCACACCTCTGACTACGGAGCGTCCCGAAGGCCAAATTCCGTGTGAAACGCGCCCTCCGACAACTCCGAGGAGGGAGGGGGGCGTTTGCGCGTGCGCAGCAGTAGTTGGTGGAAATCAGCCGTTGCGATACTGGCGGAGACTGGTTGCCTTGGTGATAACCGATAACCGATAACACTTAGCATCCCTGCACCGGGCGCTCTGGACCTTGGTTTGCGTACTGATGTTTGACCTATATGGTGACACTCAAGACTTGCAAATTTGCTGAGGGTCTGGAATGCTGAGGTGGAAGTCACCTCTCGTTTTGGAGAGCATGTATATTTCCTTCCCGTGACACCTCCCTTCCACAAAAAGATGCAAACGTGCAAACGCACAATCAACTAAAGAACTCCCGCCCCCTCCCCCAATTTAACTCCAAGATCGTGGATCTGTCCTCCCCGCTCTCCCGAAGCTGTTCGGGCAGTGTCCGGACCGCTTCGGAGGGGGCTGGCGTCCGGCGTCCACCTCTTCACCCCCAGTATCGCCTGGCCTGACGCACGCGTGCTGACAGGGGAGGGGAAAGGGGAAAGCTGCTCCCGCACACACCTCGCGGTCCTGGCCCCCGGGAGGAGATGCCCGGCCAGGGTCTGGTGTCCGTCTGGACGGAGTGCAGCTCTTCCGCAGAGCCGCCCGCAGTGGCCAGGACAGTGGGCGGCGGCGGCGGGTGAGACTGCGGGGCCTTGAGGGGTTAGGGAGGAGGCGACCAGCCCAGGGTCGAGATCCCCCTGTAGAGGAGAGGGTGGGAGCTGGCTCCCCAGTGCACTGAGGTGAGAGGAGGAGAGAAGCTTTTTGGTGGCCGGGATGGGAAATATGGAAGCCGACACACTGTTTAGGGGAAGGGCTTCTGAAGGAAGCTTACGAGGAGGGTTTGGTGCAATGACTTAAATGCAGTGACTGCGACAGTCGCTTGCGTGGGTCTTTCTGCCCCGAGGGGGCGCTGCGAAACCTACTGGAAAAATTGCCGGCCGGCCGCAAGATCTCTATATAAAGGCAGGAAGGGGAACAGATTCCTCCGGCTCCACCGAGGGCTTCCGAGTCGATAAATCAGTTCCTTGTACGTGACACTAGGCACCTTCATGTCAAGGGGATTCATAATCGCCAATGAGACAAACGATTATGAATATTAGAGGCACTTGATCTTGACATTTTCTTCCCACAGAATTTCCTTCCATAGTAAATCCATTTCATTTTGAGCAGGTTTTTACTACTTTTTCCTTGATGCTGAAGTCACTGCTGGAGGCAGTAACTCCTCATCCCTATCATCAGTTATTCCCCAAATCTAGAGCTGCCCAGCGTTCCCTCTCTGAATTCAGGCCACAGTCATGGCTCCTTCTGATATACATCTGGTGGACTGAAGACTTTTAAAGATGGGATGGAGTCTTGTGTTTCTTTTCTGTTCATCACAGTGCTTGGTGAAGTGCTGGATCCTAGTATGCTGGGAGATCAATGAACTTTTGCTCACTGAATAAATAGAAAGAAGAGGGATGCAACGGTGTTTTGTCTTAATTTGAGAAAAGAAAAAAAGAACTTGTACAAAATTAGAAACATTCCAGACCAACTTATCAGTTCCAGTATACCTTAAATATATGCAATAAAGAACAAGATAATCTTTTCCATACCCAAATTACTTTATTAAAAATAAAGAGAGCAAGAAAATATCATGGATAGCACCGAAGCCCAATACTTTATTGAGCTTAATGCAGGAATTAGATTACGAGGCTGTAAGAGTAAGACCAAATCTGACTTAAAGTAAATCCTTTCTAGTATGGTAAAAATCTCAGATAACTCATTTTGAAAAAGCCTGGAACCATTGGGATACAACCAGAATTATAGGAGAAAATTTGCAAGACTTGCTGTCTGATGGAAACATGAAAAGTAAAAAGCATATGAAATACTGTCTTTTTTTCATTTAAAATACTTTCTTTACTGCTTATAAATCTGTCAACTATTACATATTATTTAATCTTTTTTTTTAACAGATCAGCTGGACACTGTTATTACCAGAATTCCAAAGGTACCGGTGAGTAGAGCATACAAAGCAGATAATACCTATAAATAACATGGTACAGAGAAGCCAATTTTGCTATAACTACTCACACAATGGAGTTTTAAAAATAGACTTTATCAGCATCCTTGGTGAACTCAGCCTTTAAGATTTACAAAGCATAATCCAGCAGGTTCTTTCTCTCCTGCTAAGATATCTCACATCAAGCATTTTAAAAAGAGTGCTTCAAAATAGCAATGAATCTGAAAAGAACTGTGTTTATAACCGATGTTGATTGAAAAGCACAGAGCACAGCCTGGGGTTTCTATGCAGAGTGAAGGGAAAAAATCCAAATTGAACAACTTTGAGGAACATGAAATATTTCTCGGTGCTGCTATTTTCCTCTCACTTGAAATAAAGGATAGAGCTGCTGGAGTTGAGAGAGTCAGACAGGCCCGCCAAAGGCCTCTCACTAATTTTTCCCAGGTAGAGCAATTTCAGTTCAATACTATATAAAGCTGAATTCACTTTGCTTTTCCTTGGAAAATTTATAGTCCTCACAGTTGCCTGACTGTATGTACATATATATAAAAATACACACATGTACATATATAAATAAATGATATGGTCGTTTAAAAACGGAATTGCTGGATCATATGGCAATTCTGTTTAACTTTTTGAGGAGCTGCCATACTTTTTCCACAGCAGCTGCACCATTTTACATTCCCATCAGCAATGCACAGGGTTCCAATTTCTTCATCTCGTAGCTAACACTGTTTTCTGCTTGTCTAATGGTAGCCATCCTTATAGGTATGAAGTGGTATCTCACTGTGACTTTGATTTGCATTTTTCTGATGACTAGCCATGGTGAGCATCTTTTCATGCACGTATCGGCCATTTGTATATACTCTTTGGAGACATCCCAAGTCTGTTCTGTTCAAGTCCTTTGCCCATTTTTCAACTGGGTTGTTTGTTGTTGAATTTAACCATTATTTTTAAATGTTTCATTTTTCTGTAAAGAAATGCTATCTTTTGAGAAATTAAATTTTAGTCTAGGCTATAATACACATCTCAGAAATACTGATTAGTAGGGACACAAAAACTATATTCTTAATTAACTCACATTTATGATTTGAAAAAGGATTTAAAAAACTTAAAATTTTGAAATGGTATTCATTTTATTATTACAGATTCCAAATTATGTTTTAAGGGTCATAATAACATAATTTCCAGATGATTTTCTATTTGTTGGCAAACTAGTTTGTCCTTCAAGTATGCAAATATAACTCTTACTTATCTGCACTAACCATTCAACTTGCTGAAATCTTGAAGAAATAAGTAAATTTAAAGTTTAATATGTAAAATTATGGCCTTCATTATCAATAGTATTGAAACAAAACTGTGCTTTTGAGTTTACAAATTACAAAATTTTAACTTAAAATCTGTTCTGCCAGTTTTATTTGTAATAGCCTAAAACTGGAAACAACTCAAATGTCCATCCAGAGGTGGATGGATAATCAAATTGTGGTATATACATACATGCAATGGAATACAACCCAACAATAAAAAGGGATGAAATATTGCTACATGTCATATGAATGATTTCAGAATAATTATGTTGAATGAAAGAAGCCAGACAAAAGCAGAATATATACTGTATGTTTCCATTTATATCAAACTCAAGAAAATGTAATCTGGGGCCAGCCCAGTGGCACAGTGGTTGGGTTCCTGCACTCTGCTTTGGTGGCCTGGGGTTCACAGGTTTGGATCCGTGGCATGGACCTACACACTGCTCATCAGGCCATGCTGTGGCAGCGTCCCACATACAAAATGGAGGAAGACTGGCACGGATGTTAGCACAGGGACAATCTTCCTCAAGCAAAAAGAGGAAGATTGCCAGCAGATGTTAGCTCAGGGCCAATCCTCCTCTTACACACACAAAAAGAAAATGCAAACTAATCTCTAGTGATAGAAAGCACATCAGTAGTTGCCTGCAAAGAGTAGGTGTGTGGAGAGGAAGAGAGTGTATAAAGAGTTATTTCCTGATTAAATTTTTCCAGATATTGTTTTTCCCCAAACTGCTAGTGAATTTTATAGCCTATATTAAGGTACTGGTCTCAATACATCTGAAATTGAAAACTAGTTTCCATTCTTCTGGGAATATGTCTCAAGTTTTATTTTTATTAAAAGACTATTCTTTTAATCTACCCACATCAGTATCTAAAATAGTGTACTAACTGAAATTATGTAAAAACTTTAATAAATTTCTGCAAAGTCCTTCATTTTAACACTGCTTCATTAAAGTGGTAAAATTTATGTTATTCCCTCTTGAGTCTAATGCAGAAAAGAATTTTAAAACTATATACTAAAGTCAAATGAATGATAAAATATTGTAAATCTTTAAAGTGCAAATCCTACATGTATATTCCTGTTTAGTATGGTCTGATATACAATAAACTAAAAAAGTAAGTTATTGTCAACAGTTTGCATCTCAGCTGACTTCAAAATAATGTAGTCCATATATAATGATAAATATATATATAGTTAAATATTTGTAAATGTCTTCGCTTTTTGCGTGCTCTAAAACCAAATGGCCTATAGTACAGTCTTCAGATTTAACAGCCTGACTCATACTACTACTCCAGGACAATCACGGACACATGTAAGTACGTAGATCTTAATAATTTGTTGAACTGATCTTTGCTCATGAAATTGACAAAATAATGTCCTTGCCTACAGATAGATTCAAAGGTGGACATAAAGTGAACATAGCCAAGCTGCAAGAGTTATGGAAAACTCCTCAAATTCAAAGAATTCACATCCCTAAATCAATGACAGATGTGCCCTTTCTAAAGGTATGCTAACTAAATACCACTACTTTATTTAAATACCAATACTCTTTGTATTCACAACCGCACTTTTTATTGAAGGTAAGCTGCTTCGACGGTAAGGCACTGTGGAAGACAAAATACACCCAGCATATTGTCTAGGAGTCTGTAAAGATCTGCTGGGTAAAGTTGTGAATGAGTGCAAGGATTTTATCATTATAGATTCCCTGTCAAGAGTTCTTTCAGGGCTTTACGATACTTTAGATCTAATGCACCTTCACTCAGGAAGCTCACTGCCCCAAACACAAAGATGCTTGAGGAAAGTTCCATTCTAGAGATGGAAACCCAACCTTATAAAGTTTTGCTCAAGGACTACAAAATTAGAAGCGAGTAAAGAAAATGGCAATAAGCATTTGCAACTGTTGACCTGTGTTACCCCATTAAAGATCATAGCTGCCAGGAGCATCCTCTCTAGAGCACTGCGAATTAGGGTTACTACAGATTGGTGCAAACTGGTAAATTTTTCTGACCAACATCTTGAATTTCCTCTGGATTTATTACCTATTCAGTTCAGTAAATCCTGTGTGTGTGTGCATACATATGCTTACACAGCAGGGCCTTGCATTTTAGGTGAGCGTCAACTTCTCAAATCAGCAAGCACAGTGAAAATCTTAGTTGAAATTACTTATATCAGAGACCAACAGATCCCTGAGTCTGTCCAACACAACAGTTATTTCTCTGGGGCAAGAAAAGGCTGTTTCTTTAGTTAAAACTAAGTACAGTAATTGGGTTGCTTTTAGGTGTCACATTATACCTCAAAAGTCATAGAGGGCAAGATGCCTATACCCACTGAGAGGCACATGGGAACTAAGACTCACTGACAGCACAGCAGATTCATACTTTCCTATTCTTCTAGGGCAGTGGTTCTCAAACCTCTTTGGGCATCTGAATTGAGTGGAAATGGCAAGCAGTCACTTGTTTAAATGGCCATTTATTTCTCTCTCTTTTTGGCCAAATTAACATAGCTGATTTGCGTAAGTAAAATGTACAGATGGTACAACTGTCCTGAACATGCATCCTTTCGGATCAGGAATATTGCCAACCTCTGTTCTACAATGCAGCCTATAAATCTTGTTCTGTCTTTTAGCATCGAGACCTCACCATAGGCCAGAAGCGTTATCTGTGCAGCATTGCTAAGATCTATAATGCAAACTATCTGAGGACGTTAATGAAGAGGCAGTACATGCATGTGATCCAGCGCAGCTCACACAAGCCAGGCAGGTGCACCCCCAGTTAGTCCCTCACTAGTTCTCACAAGAAATGAGGAAGTCTTCTAATAGAGGTGATTTGTATGTATGACAGGTGCCCTCACTCATCCCAGGAGCCGCCTCAGCTCTCGTTACGCACAGAAGCATTACCCCTGCACTACATGGCGACATCAACTGGAGAGAGAGGACTCAGGGCCTTCTCACATCGCAGCCATATGTGCATCTGAAATGATCATACAGCATTCCCTTTGGCGACCAGTGAGAAACAAAGAAGGGTCTGTTTTTTATTGTTTCCAAGGAGGAAAATGTACTCCAATTTTATGTGAAGGGTAGCTAAATGATATTAAAGCTTGTGTTCCCTAATATGTTCACTTTGATAAATTCAGAAGAGGTTGGACAAAAAGCACAAAAGGATGTTATCTCACAGTCTCTTTTACTGAGCTGACTGGGATATGCCACTTCTTCTGGAACATATTTTGTGGAATTGTAAAAATTTCTTCATCAGATAGAGATATAGAAGACTGCCCCTTTCAATGATTCCCACTCAAACTCAAAATAATACAAACACTTCCAAAAGAAGCATATGGTTGCTTCTGCATGGGGGAATACTATAAACAAAAAAGGAAAGAGGAAAAGAGATTAAGAAGCCTGATTATCCAACCTGAACTACAATAGTTAGCTTTGCATTTCAAGGTTAATAAGCCACAGGAGAATTCAGGGGCTGAAAGGATCTTTTTGGTGATGCTGGCAGCCTAATAAAAAGTATTTGTATGCTCTTGCACATGCATTAGGCAGCTGTTCACTTTGCTGGTTCCAACTGAGATGCTTCTCTTTCTTATAGTTTAAAAACTGGATATGCATCTAAAACAAGATGTAAGTTGCTGAAGATTTTTAGAAAACCAGGGAGACTGTTCATGCAATCAGGTAAATGTGGAATTTTTAAAATATGCATTTTAAAAGATCTTATGCTTAACAAATATTTAAACCCAAGTTTCATTTCTATTACAGAGGACATTAAAAAATTTAGAGTAAAATATAGTTTCTGCTTTCATTTTAAAGAACACACTGCTCAGGGGAGTAAGGTTCAAGGTATTTCTAATTCTAAATAAAGATATTTATAACATCAACATCAAAGATTTAACAGAGAATGAATTTGTCACAACCCAGAGCCACAAACATGACTTTTCCAAGCCACAGCACTCCTTTTATGAGATAGTGACATTTTTGGATGGACAACATATTTTGTACAGCATTGAACAGTTTACAAAGGGCTGCATCACCTATACCATTTTGTTTAATTTTCAACAAAGCAGTGCAAGCAAGCCAACCAGGTGATATTATCAAAATTTTCTGGAGCAACTCACAAATCCAGACTTGGGAAGGATCAGCAGAAAGGATCCTTCTACACAAGTGCAGAATACTGCAAAATGAAAAAGGCAAAAGAGAAAGACTGAACGTTCAGAAATATTCCTCAGAATTGATAAAGTGAAAGTTAAATAATTTCCCCTTACTACTACAGTGGGTAGGGAAGTTAGGCCTTCTGAACCCATATCCCATTTCCGTGTGACAGTGCCACTCAGCTCTGCTGTAAATATCACGCTATGCCTATCCAAGAAATGAGTGAAATGGCAGGGGAGAAGGTAAGTCTGGTTCCAAAAAGATCAGCTAGAGGAAACTCCAGATAGGGGAAAAGTCCCTGTGGTCCCCAAAAGAGAGATGAGAAGGCACTTAAGGAACATGGAGAATATTGAGGCTAGAACTCCCCCTTAAACAAAAGATTTTGAAAAGCAAAGGGAAAACAGGACTTAGTAACAGAGAATTTGCTACATAGTAACTTGGCTAGAATACAGTACTGGGTATCTTATTTTAAAAAGTAAGAGATGTGGGGGAAGGAGGGGAGGTGGTTAAGTTTTGAAACTTGCAGGCAATTTGTTTTTGCTAAAGGCTCATTAGTGACGTAGGTCATTTTGAAGGCGGTTCTTATATACAAGTCTAAATTTTCAGGATGAAATACAACTTATTTCCAAACCAGACATTATAAACTCTTTTTTTTCCCCTTAGTTTCTACAAATGATTCTGAATCATACACGAATGAAGAAAAAAAGGAAGAAGATTTACTAAAGTGTATGCAATCAATGTCAATTGAAGAACAGGGAGAACATCTGATGCTAACTTGACAATCTTGTCTTGTGTATTGATAACGTGCCAAAAGTAGGGGTAAGAGGTTGTGATTTGTGTCCTCTCTCTACATTTAGGATAGTATTGTTATTTACCATTAAGTAATTAAGTAATTTTGGTTTGTTCAGAAACTTTTACAACAATCTAATTGGTTTGATGTAGGTCCATGTACCAAGGATTGTGTAATAAAATTTGCGTATAATATATGCTTATATTTCTAGCTAGATACAATTAAAATTTTTCTTGTCACTTAAAATTGAGTAATTTTTCTTTAAATCTAACAAGTACATTGTGTAATTCTTTCTCTGCTTTACAATAAGTCCTAAAACAGCAACATTAGAATAGACAAGTATTTTCTTGACTGAGCTGAGGAAAACTCTGAAATCTTCCGATTCAGAACAGCATTTGATAGAGATAGCATCCTGGCTTGCAAAGAAGGTATTTAATAAATATTTGCTGCTTGAATACAACTTAAAAATGGAAATATAAATTTGCCCTATTTTATGAAAACTGCCACACAAACACTTGGACTCTCAAACTAGATTAAGTTGGGAATAGTGCTAAGGAGGCGATTCCTTACGTTATATATGCACTCTAGTGTGCTTTCCTTCTAAATATTGTTTTTAAAAAATTTTGTTAAAACTTGAAAAATAGGAACAGGGCAATTTAAAGCAACAGTTTGAAGAATCCCTGCTGATTTCACATGCCAATATGGTATATTATTTAGAAACTAAAATCTGAGTGCACCATTATGACCCAGAACATTGTAAGAAATGAGAGAGCTCTGAAAGGTCATCTCAGCTACCTTATCACTTTAATACTTGTCCACAGTTTGATTCAATCTCTTATTTCTATGATTTGTAAAAATTAAAACGCAAGTTTATCAAGAAAGCATAAATGAAAGGTAACTGTTTATTCCTGGAGAAGAAAAAAATGTATACAAGAAAGACTAGATTCTTTCTTCTCATGCACTTTTGTACTAAAGTTCCAAATACCAACTTTGAAAATATTTACAAGGATAAACTTTCCCTAACACGTGACCATTTACTGTGTGGAGAACACTTTTTCATAGAAATCATATACTTAAACTAAATATATTCTTATAGTTTACAAGAAGCTTAGAACATTGTATTAACAGAAGACGCTATTATATTTTACTGCAAAATATTATAAAAGTGATACAGTTTTGTGGCTCTTAAATGTTTAATTACTTGATTTGAACAGGAAAATGAAAAAAAAAAAAAACCCAACAGAAAAATCAAGACAGGCCTAGCTTTAAGATTTTTTGTATTCGATTCGTTCTACTTTCACGTCATCTCCAATTAGCTGATACACGTAAGTGACAACTGTAGAAGCCTGGATATCCATCAACACAAATGAAGGAATAATGTTTCTGGAAGAAAACATAAATAATGTCAGTGTTTTGTACTAAAAGCAGCAGCACTACAAAGTCATTTTAGGATGACAACTGGTTTCAAGGAGAAATCTTGTTGTTACACATAAAAAAGAATCATCACCAAAAGAAGATTGCCAAGAAGGCTATAAATATTTAAATGGTCACATTTCTCTTTTATGAAATGTCATGTGCAATTATTAACTTTAAAAAAACCCCAATTCCCAAATTGCATACTACTCACGTTTCCAAGGCGTTATATGCTCCAGTGGCAGAACCTGGGTTAATGTAGAATTTATTTTCATGCTCAAATGCTTCAAATTTGTGTGTATGTCCCGAGATAAGAATGTCCACATCAAACTGCCTCTGCAGCAGGGCTAAGCTGGCCATGTCTCCCCATGGAATAACTTGATGTCCATGGATCAAACCAATTTTGAACTGCCCAACAGTCACAACTTTCTGTTCTGGATAATTCAGATTCTAAAATGAGAAACAGACGTAAGAAAAAATATATTTTAGAGATACTGATGTTTAAAAAACAATCTGCTTAAATATTCAATCTCATATGTATGTTTTGATGCAGTGCCTCACAACCAACACATTTATTAAATATTTGATTTCTTCTCAGTCACTAAGGCTGCAACTATGCAAAAAACATAACTTACATCAGGTAAACTGGAATTTATCATGCAACCCCTTTATTGTGTTTATTTTTATAGAATATGGGTTCTTTGGGGCATGCTGTAGAGAATAATTATTGCCCCAAATTTGTGAGTTTTCTCTACCTAAGAATCCTAGGCATATAAGCTGTAAGCTAGGGTGTGTTGAAATCATATTCCAGGCTTTAACAGTTTTATAGATGGCTCAAAATCATAATGATAGTTAACACTTATATAGCACTTAGTATGAACCAGGCACTATTCTAAGGGCTTTATAAATAGTAACCTATTTAATCCTTACGAACAATCCTAAGAGGTAGGTTCTAGTAGGACCTCCATTTTATGGGTGAGGAAACTGAGGCACAGAGAGGTTAAAATAACTTGCCCACGGTCACGTTAGTAAGGGATTGAGCCAACATCCAAACCCTGGTAGAATGGCTCCAGGGTCTATGAATTTAGCAAATTAGAAGCAAGAAATTTTAATTCTTGCTACTGAAACTGTCTTTAGCATCACACAAATGGAACCCCTAACATGTTTTTAACAAACCAGAACTACATTCTAATTACCGACAAGAAATTGGCCCCTTTGCTTCTCATCTCCCTATCTTTTAGCTCCATGCCACCACTAGCTTATCCAAACTATTTCTTTTTGTTTGTTTGTTTGTTTGTTTTTTTTTTTGGAGGAAGATTAGCCCTCAGCTAACTACTGCCAGTCCTCCTCTTTTTGCTGAGGAAGCCTGGCTCTGAGCTAACATCCGTGCCCATCTTCCTCTAGTTTATACATGGGACGCCTACCACAGCATGGCTGCCAAGCAGTGCCATGTCGGCACCCGGGATCCGAACCAGCGAACCCCGGGCCGCCGAGAAGCGGAACGTGCGAACTTAACCGCTGCGCCACCGGGCTGGCCCCCTTATCCAAACTATTTTTTAAATCCACTCAAAAAAAAAAAAAAAAGACACTACGCTCATTGGGTTTGGTATACAGGAACCCCAGTAAAGAGCACCAATGAAGTTAAATAATTAATGAAAAAGCTTATATTCCCAGAAACACAAAATAGATTTTTCACACTAGAATCAGACTTATTATGCTAAATCATACAATGTTAGCACTGGCAGGAGTCTTAAAAATCATCTATTCCAATCACATTTATGTAGGAGGAAATTAAGACCAGAAAGAGGATGTAATTTGCCTAAAATCTCATTACTAACTTTTTTTTTGGCCCATTGTTAATGGGCAAAGTTGGAACTCCAGAATTCCTAACTTATTTTCTTTCTTTAAAGTCAGGTTTATTGAGGTATAATTTACATACTGTAAAACTGACCTTTTTAGTGTACACTTCAAGGGGTTTTGACAAATGCACACGTCTATTCAAGTACAACCACAATCAAGATACAGAACAGGTCAACCACCTCCTCAGAACTCCCTCATGCCCCCTTACAGTTCACCCCTGAGACAGGGAGCCACGGCAGGGTTTTCAGAGACCAGTGATGTGATCTTACTTCACCGAAAAAGGACCACTCTGGTTGCTACTTGGAGAACAAACTATGGAAAGAGGAGGGTAGAATCAGGGAGGGGACCCCAAGAAAGGGGTCCAGTGGCTTGGAACAGGGTAGCAGAGGTGGGGGCGGTGATAAGTTTGCAACAAAAACTTTAGAAACTAAATGACAGTAGTACAAAAAATAATGACAAAACCACTTCTATTTCGTATCAATTTAGTTAGAACGAATACTTAATATGTTTATTGATTAATCTAAAATCAGTGATTTTCAAACAGTAAGAGAGGAGTATGTGTAGTAATTTTATATTTGGAAAATTAAAAGAAAAAAGACCTTAACAGTTGAAAAATTCTGGTCTAAAAGATAAAGCTTATATATGTAACTATCCAGAAAAGGAACTATTTGGGAAGGGAAAGGGAAATACATCACCTCATCGAAGTCTCCTCTCACAATATGAACATCGCCGGCCAGAGTCTTGAGATAGTCATAACTCTCTTTGGTGCAAAGGTTTCCAGTGCAGAGAATGTGCTGAATCTTTCCTGGCACCAGTAGTTTTTTGAATTTAGCTGGCAAACTATTGCACCGGTGCGGGATGTGCAGGTCTCCTAATACCAACACCAACTTTAAAGTGTCAAGGTGAGACAAGGTGTAACGTTAAACATGATGTCCAAACAAGGATTCTCCTCCCAAAACTCCCCTTTTAAATTAAACTAATCAGAGATTCCAGAACCCAAAAGAGCAAAAGTTATTCACACAGTTCCTATCATGATCATTTAAATAAACACACATATGGTAACATACTCTGTTCTAAATCAATCTTATTTTATTTTGGTCATAAACAGGTATGCGTACACAATACAGGTAATCACTCTATTTACTAAGAATAAAATCAAGCTTTCTAGTGTGGTTCACTTAGAGACCTATGAATTACACTGAAAAAAATACTACTGGGCTCTGTGGAATTTGGCATTTTGAAGACTGATATGGTAATTAATATTTCTTTTTTTTTTGAGGAAGATCAGCCCTGAGCTAACATCTGCTGCCAATCCTCCTCTTTTTGCTGAGGAAGACTGGCCCTGAGCTAAGATCCATGTCCAACTTCCTCTACTTTATATGTGGGACGCCTACCACAGCATGGCTTGACAAGTGGTGTGTAGGTCCGTACCCGGGATCCGAACCAGCGAACCCCAGGCTGCCAAAGTGGAATGTGTGCAATTAACTGCTGCGCCACCCGGGCCGGCCCCCATATTTCTGCAGTTGTAAAACCTTATATATTGATTCATAGAATGTTAATGAAGAGAATTACTAAAAATGTAATAACAGAGAACAAAGTTAATTCTATAATTTATGTTTACCAGACTAACAACTATTTGGAGGAACAGTAGCCAAAATTTACAATATTTGCTACTTAAAACTATTAGCTATACATTACAGAAGAATAAAAACAGCCTATGTTTCAAAGAGTTTCAATAGGGCAAATGTGTGCTTCTGAATTATAATCTGTTATCTTCTTTTTTCTTCATTATTAGAAATCCTCACTGTCACGTTATTATCTAGATTAAACTGCTTATGTACCCCCAGTTTAGTTCTCAAACTTAAAATAACATTTTCAATCATGTGCATAAAAGCATTAAAAAAAAAAAGCTTGATGAATTTAGCAGGAGGTAGAGTTGCAACATAGTCTCAGATGACAAAAATAAATTTTGCACTTAAACATAAAAGAATAGAAAACCTCAATCCTGTAAAATTTTAATTTAAAAATTTTAACAGTTGACATATAAACACTATTTAATTCAGTCATTTAATAGAATATTGTCAAAAAGTTCATTTAAAAATAATATCTGCCCTCTAAAGAACAAGAGAATCAATTTCTTCATGTCGATTAGAATAAGCTCCTTTATTCTATGTCAGGATGTCTTCCCACACAGACATCTCATCCATAAATGTACATGCCCTTTAACTGCTTTTAAAGAAGGCATGACTATTCCTTAATATTATCAAAGAAGACATTAAATATCTGAAATAGAGTAAAACAGAAAATAGTGTTTGTTTTGTTTTGAGGAAGATTAGCCCTGAGCTAACATCTGCTGCCAATCCTCCTCTTTTTGCTGAGGAAGATTGGCCCTGAGCTAACATCTTCCTCTACTTTATACGTGGGACGCCTACCACAGCATGGCTTGCCAAGTGGTGCCATGTCCACACCCGGGATCCGAACTGGCAAACCCCGGGCTGCCGAAGCAGAACGTGCGCACTTAACCACTGTGACACCAGGCCGGCCCCCAGAAAATAGTTTTGCCACCACAGACTGTCACCAAATTAAAATCTGTCAATTTTTAATTGAAATTAAAAACAAAATGTGTGAAATTAAAATTATTACTAGAACAAGCTTCCTTCATCTTGCAACAAATACCAAAATGATTACAAGGGAAAGGATGTAGAGCAACTAAAGTAACACAAGGTTACAAAATTAGCACACTTTAAAAGAAATTGTTAAATAAGTTTCTTCTTTATAAAAAGCAGTTTCAGCTGGTATTTGCTCAATGACATATTAATTGTTTCAATCCAGATCTTAGTGGACAAAACATCTGTAAAACTAAAAACCACCGAGAAGTTTCCACCCTCATCAGGAATCCATACAAAAGTACCTGGATATAGAACAATCTTCATCTTTAGAGGGGGATCCCTTCAGATATGGATTGAAGTACATAGTTAATATGGGAAGCTGGCATTTGAGAAAAAGGTAAAAAATAGATTTCTATATTAAAAAAAAGAACTTCAACCTTTTAAAAGGGTACATGTCTATACCAGGCTGAAAATGTTTAGGACTAATAATGAATGCACTTTTCCATTTGAATGTGCTAGAAAGAACATTAGTTAAGACATGATACTTTATAATAACTGATGGCCTATTCTACAATGTACTCTGGACTATGCCCACGTGTACCCAGACTGTTAGCCGTCTAAGGATATAACTGTATGAATGACTACACAGAAATTATTTCAAAGTAGTAAGGATCCTTACTAGGAATCTGGTTTCCTGCACATGACAAAGCTATAGGGAAAATAGTGTCACCTAACAAATGTCATTCTTGAAGGCGTCTCCTTGCCCAAATTCCACACTTGACAATTCAGGTTAGACATAGATTACAGCGTCTTTTAAGACAGCAAAAGATCCTGGCAATGGCAGTCTTGTTAAATTCAAATAAAGAACCAACCCAATCAAAGCATAGGAATTTGGTTACTTCCTATTTGACAGACCATAAAAGGGTGAAAATCCCAGTAATCAGCCACCCGATCACCATTGTTAGTAGGAGCTAAGAGAAGAAACTTACTCTGTGCCCAGCCTTAGTGGAATGAAGAAGTTGATTGCAGACAGGGGAATGAAAAAAAAGGGTGAAACATGACCAATGTTAAAAGAAAGCAACAAAAAGAAACAAACCAAAAAAAGGAACAAAAAACTCGTATCAAATGAATATGCAAACAATTGTTAATGATTTCTGAGTGTTATGAAAGAAAATGTTAAAAATCAGCTTTGCTCAAAACAATACCAAAAGAACCATTTGCTGTATTTTTAAACATTTTACACACATACACACACAGGCTCTCTCTTTAAAAAAATTTGCCTTGTCAATTTTTCCTATTAGTCCTAATCTTGTTCTCCACATCGACTCCCATCTCTTTTGTTTCCGGTTCTGTTAAGAATTTTACAAGACAATTTGGAAAATTCATTAGTAATAGCTTAAATGAAAGCTAACATTTTCTGGATTCTTAAGATCTAATTATTCCTCAAGTACACTGATTTTAATTTTCTTATGTTCAAAATTCTACTAGTTGGGAAAGTATGCTCAGGTAGGTCATTATTTTGTATAGAAGATCTAACACAATGCTATGAATACATTATCAAGTGATGAAGTCACCAACTAAAGATGATAACAGCAAACACATTTCTCCACTAAAAGTGGACCCTCCCCACACTTGAATTTGCTGCCCATAGACTCTGGATACTACTAAGTGTTGAACATTTTTAGTTTAGTCTCCTTTCCCAAATAAAACGCTTTTAATCATAAAAGAATCAGCTAATGCTAAATTTTGCCCAGTTCTTCCTATTTCATGTGAAAAGTCACGTTCCAGTACAACTACTCTAAAAAAGTGTTCACCTCTCAAAAAAACTGCAGAAACATGAATATGGAATCATATGTCAGATAATTTCGTCTTCTCCCAGCGATAAATGTCTCAAAATTACTGTAAGCTGGATTACTCTAAAGTGGAGTCCGTTTAGAAGCAAAAATCAAAAGTAGGATTAAAGCCTTTTACATATATAAAGAAACTAAAGAAGCATACACCATAAATCTTTAGCTGTCACGTCTATAAGCCACCTGAAAGGCTGTTTGTCACATAATCATGACAACCTTCAAAATGCAATGGATGCTCATCTGAGAGAGAAGTCCCTTTACAGTTAACCTCATCAACACAAATACCAAGATAATCAGAGCTCCTCTTGAAACCGTTCTTAACTTTTTAGGGGATCAAGGGCACCTTTGCACATCTGATTACAGCTATGCACCCTCTCCAGCAGATGCTCCCGAGTTTCTATGTAGGAAGGTCTTAGGGGTAGCAACCTTCTGGGGCCGAGGGGGTGACGGGCCGCCTTGAAGCTGGCTGCGGCAGTGTGATCAACGACCGAGGTAAATCACTGACCTTTTACCCAGAAAAACGTACGTATTCACAAAATTTTCCAAACAATTTCAAAGAGTTCATAAACCGCTAAGCAATCCTACTCTACAGGGTCCCAAGAATTCTAAGAGCCACCTCCAGTCCTGGTGGGCATCCTACCACGTTTCAATGGCAGCTGGACGTTATCTCCGGGGAAAGCGGAGGGTTTTTACCCCCTTTCCCTAGACGGCAAACTAAAATGCTTAGGGGATTCTGCTTGCGACTTCCCGTTCTGCAGCTGAGAAGCCAGCTTTTGCCACACTGGGGTGGTAACCGGTGCATCCCAACCAGCGGGAGACGCTTTTTGTGGGAAAGGAGTAGGGAAGCGTCTGGAAACGGAAGGGGCCCGTGCTCCTTTCTCGGGGACGCTCCAGGCGCAGGCCCAAAGGCCTTTCCCGTGCGGGTCTCGTGACCAGCCGAGCAGCTGAGAGGGGCCCTTTCCCCCTCGGCAGTCCTCCGGCCCCCAGGGCGGGGGTGCGAGGCCGCGCCGGCCGCACCCAGAGGTGGCCGCTCCCGCCCCTGCCTGCTCTCCCCCTCGGCCGCCCCCAGGCCCGGGCCCGCCCGCCAAAGCCTCCGGGATCGCCCACGCCCTCGCCCCGAGACTCCAGCGGCTCCCAACGACACAGCACGCCGGCCGAGGGCCAGGCCCCGGGCTCCGCGGCTGCCGTCCTCACCATCCTGTCACTGGGCTCCGCTCAGTCACCACCACCACCGCCGCCACCCTCTTCCTCAGGCTCCTCGGCGACCCGCCCACCCCGCTCGCAGCCAATGAAAAACGAGGTCCGCAGGAGGCTGCTGTACGGCGGCCCGCAAAGGCCCTTTTACGCCGTAAAGCGAAACTCATCTCTGGGAAAGAGGAGGAGGAGGGGAGGGGTGAAATCTCGAAGCTTCGAAAAGCGCGGGCAACATCCGGGCACTCGGGGCCGTCAAGCTGAGGCGCGTCTTGCGACCCGACTGGTTAGGGCCCCAGCCATGCTGAAGTGCGGAATGGGCGGCAGTCAGGTGAAAGGTGGACGGCCTTGCTTGCCTTCTTGTGTAGAAAACGAAAGCCTGAGGTTCATGGGGCCGACTCTGCCGTGGCAGTCTGGATTCCCTTTTGCCTTCGTGCACGGGGGCTGGGGACAGGAGGCCTGGCCACAGCCCGCCTTCGCCCACCGAGGCCCGTTAGCGTCTGAGGCGGGGGGAGGCCCAGCCGCTTTTCTTGGTGTCCTGTTGTCGTTCTGGGGTGTCCGTGCTTTGACGCTGCGCCGTGGGCCGGAGCCCCGAGTGCGGCCTCGCACCGGGCTGAGGAGGAGCGTGCGGGGAAGAGATGGGGGGCAAGAAGGCTCGCACGACCACAGTGTCTTAGTGTCGCGAGAAAAGCGCAAACCCGGCTTCTATTCCGGATTCTGCCATTTTTTTAATGTATGACCCGGGGCAAGCCACCGAATCTCTTCGAGGCTCAGTTTCCTCATGTGTTAAGTGAGAATAGTAACAGCCCCTTTGTTATCGGGTTTGCTGTAGGAATGAAACGGAAATGCATGTGAGGAGCTCAATAATAGGTGGGAATGCACGGAACGATTATCCTAAACCGTACTTTAAACGTGAGAGTCACTCCAGGAAATCCCTCCTTAGAAGAGCAATGGTTTCCTACAGATCGGACCCTGAGGATGAGCGCGGAAGGGCGTCCTGTGCTGTAGCGGGCTCGCCCCGTGGGGGACATGTGGGGGACGGTGTTCGTGGACAGGAGAGGGGCACAGCCCCCTTCGCGTCCTCGGGCGCTAGGCGGTGCTCTGGCAGTGGGCACCTCGCTTCTTAATAAGCACTGGGCGATGGTTCAGTGTCGTCCTCCTGGGTTGTGGGCCCTGCGAGGCAGCGGCTGTGCCCGGCTTGTTCGTTGCTGTTCCCCCATTGCCTTGGGTTGTGCTTGGAACACAGCAGCTGCTCGATACACACCATTGGATGGATGAAAGGTCTGCATTAAGCAGCTCCAGGAAAAAGTGGTGACTGTGAAGGGGTAAAAAGGACAGGTGCCCCCCCCCCCTTTTTTCGCGTGGTCATGCTGTCTTTCTCAGTTTGAAGGCTGCGCGCGTAACTCACACCCTTCTGATTCTTAAGTATTATAATCTGATTTTATGTTCTGGGATTATCTTTCCATTTTTCTACTGGGTTGATAGGGCATCCCTTTTTAACGCAGCATAGTATTCCGCCTCTGTTTGCCACATTTTGTCGTTATTTGTAATCGTGAGAACGTTGGCAGTGTCATAGCAGATGAGACCATCGTTGGTCCCGCCTAAGCCTCTTTCCCAGAGGCCGTATGAGTGTGTTTGGTGGAAAGATTGGCATCTTGCACGCTGCCCTCAAACGTCGGAGATGCATCTTGAATGTCTCTACAGTCTCTCTCATGACTTGTTTTGACGTTGCCACCTGTGAAGATGTTAAAACACTTCAAACCATCCTCTCCATGCTGTTTTCACACTTTGGGGGGTGGGGGTGGGTGGAGGGGAATACATTTATTTAAACCAAGTTTAAAAATGCATTAGTGTGGAATTGCCTGGTTGCAGTAGCTCTGTGCAATGCTGCAAACATATAGAAGAATTGTGTTGCATTTGGTCACTTCACACACTCATTCTTTGAATTTATGGAGCTCTGCGTGGCATTTTGCCAAGGGTATTACACTGTATTTCTTAAGCAAAGTAGCCTTAGTCTATAGAACACTGTTCCCTATGGGTTTATCTTGAGTCCTGCTTGAGTGAATGCTGAAGTGGCCCTCTGGTTTGTCTTTGTTGTTTGAAAGAATGTCAGCAGCACCTTTCCTTTTTCTCCACAGTGTTTGGGAAAGCAATCCAAGCTCTATCACGAGTTAGTGACGAGCTGTGGCTGGACCCATCTGAAAAAGGTGTAAGTAAGGACGTTAACTAACAGACCTCCTATTAAGGCAGAAGCAGATGTTTAAAGGTCCCAGTCCAGATTGAATGTTAACCAGGAAATTCAGAAATTGTAATTATCCCTTTGACTGTTCATCCTTCTTTTACATATCTGAATACATTTAGAGCATAGTAAACTTAAACATCATGCAGATAGGGGCCGGCTCCGTGGCCGAGTGGTTAAGTTCGTGAGCTCCACTGCGGTGGCCCAGGGTTCAGATCCTGGGCGAGGACATGGCACCACTCGTCAAGCCACGTTGAGGCGGCGTCCCACATCCCACAACTAGAAGGACGTGCAACTAAGATATACAGCTGTGTACCGGGGAGGGGGCGTTTGGGGAGATAAAGCAGAAAAAAAAAAACCAGATTGGCAATAGTTGTTAGCCCAGGTGTCAATCTTTAAAAAAAAGAAAAAAAAAATCATGCAGATAAGCCCAACTTATTTAAACCAGAAGTCACAGACTGGTGGTCAACAGGCTGGATATGGCTTGCAGCAGTGTTTTGTGGGGGCTGTGCTGTGTTTTTTAAAAAATTGAAATAATTTTCTAATACTTAAATAATTGGGAGAGTCCACGTAAAAATCTGAATCTCTTGAAAACTCAGATCTGACAACTTTGGGCCTCCATTCCCAAGTGGAGGTAGTTGGCTGTTTCTCCTGTAAGATAAGCCAAGAGATCGTCATTTTGCTGCAGTCTTTTTACTCCCTTTTATATTACTGTCTGCCACTTCGTGCATTAAAGTTAAGGCCCCTGTAGGCATTTACAGTTTTACTATTTCAACATGGAAGATTTTAGATTTAAGACATAGGTATTCCATATAGATATGTACACATATATATACGCAAATTCAATACACATTGTATAATGCAGCCTATATCATATATATATAATAATTCATATGTATAATGTAGTCCATATAATGCAGGTAATATCTCATAGCCTTATTTGAACACATTTAATTGCGATGGGAAAGGTAATAGAACTTTTTGAATTAATCGTTTAAGGAAAGTTGATTTTTTTCCTAAATAGCTATTATTTTATTTTTCCAGCTTGCTTTAAGATCTGTGAATTCTTGTCGGTCAGCATATGGATGTGTTCTCTTCTCTCCTGTCTTTTTTCAACAATATCAATGGTCAACTTCAGTGAAAATGAATGATAATGACACAATATCGAATTTAAATTGCAAATTGGGTATGAAGGTAAATATAAGTGGCCCTGGTTTTCTCTTGTATTGTAGAAATATTCATTATATAGGACATAATAGTTATTCTGTACTTCATACTTGGTTTAAATGGCATTCAGGACAAGTCTATTCATTTATGACTATACATGCTCTGCTTTTGTTTGTTTTTTTAACTAATCAAACAACCCTATTTGTGTTGTTCTATAATGTGTTTGTGTTACAGTCAATTCTCCCCATCTTTAAATGTCTGAATTCCCTCGAAAGAAATGTAGAGAGCTGCAAAATATTCACCAGATCAGATAAGTGCAAAGTAGTCATTCAATTCTTCTGCAGACATGGTAGGTATAATTAAAACTAGTTTAAAGTATTGTGTGTTTTTGCTAATATTTTTCATGTTTAGGATATTCAGACTGCACGTCAAGACTTCACATTGCGTTATTGCTTAGAATTTGTGTTGTTTTGTGGTAGGACAGTTGGAAGTACTTGAAAAGTCTCTCTATTGTGAGATGAATGGTATTATCTCCTTTTTTGACTTGTCAGTGGCACAAGTTTTGCCTGCATACAAACCAATTTCTTTTTAATGTCAGTTTGAATTCAACCAAATTCAGTTGGTGGTTCTAAAATTAACTGGCTGCTTGATGATATTCTGTAAGAGAGCTTTGGTAGCAGCATTCCTTGGTGAGAACAGGAAAGAATAATGCCTACCTGTGTTGAAAGTCCGCTAGGAGGCAGATAGTAGTATATCTGGTGCTGAAAAAAGTGTGGTAACTGGCCCAGGGTCACAGAACTAGTAAGTCGCGGAGCCTGGATTTTTATCCAGCCCCACAACAGTAGGAGCCAAACCCTTCATTCACTCTCTGCGCCACCAAGCTGTAAAACCGATTTCCTGCCTCCCAGCCTTGCATGGTAGATATTTAAATGCTGTACTCAGGACCGTTACATGCTTAAATACCTGTAGCATGGTGACTAGGAGCGTGGACTCTGGAGGCCACAAGGTCTGGGGTGGAATTCTGCTCTGCCATTTCCTTGCTAAGACTTTGGGCAAACTATTTTACATCTCTGTGGCTCAGTTTCCCAATATGTAGAATGGGGATAATGTTAGTACCAGCCTCCTAGGGTTTTGTGAGGATTCAGTGAATTATAGGCAGTTACAGTTCTAAAGTGTTTAAAAGAACGCCTGGCACATTGTCTGATTGTTAGCTCTAGTTATATTTATTATGATTGCAGCTATTTTATTTGAAGTTAGCAGGTAGAATTGTATGCTTTAAAAAATCTTGTACTTGTGATAATGGTCTAAATGTTTTTTTCCTAGCAGAATGGTCTTCTGGAAGGTTATCTTAGTGTTACAATTTATATTTCTTAATTTTGTCTTACATTTGTCTTAGTATTTTTATTTCAGCTTATATTTATATTCCTTATTTTTTCACTGCAAAATATCAACGATTTAACGTTATTTTTTGCCTTCTTTGACTTTTAGTTCGTATAATAGCAGAATCCTGTAAAGAGCGTGATTAAAAGCACAGCAAGCCTTGACATCGCACAGATTTGGGCGTGGATTCTTCTATACTTCCTATACTTCTTACTAGCTTTGTGAGAGTACATAAGCTTTCTGAACTTTCACTTTCTTTTCTGTAAAATGGGGGTAATCTTATCTACCCTCGTGTTCCAGGGTTGTTAACATGAGGATGAAGCGAAATCACATGTGAAGCACGTAGCATGGTGCCTGACACAGATGGAGCACTAAGTAGTCAGGGCCTGCTATCATTACAGTTTTCCTCATCCCTTATTTCCAGCTAGATTTTGAAGAACCAGCTTTTTGATTTCTTAAGTGTCTCTCAAGTGGCTTGATTAGTGTCCAGTACATATTTGTGATTGGTTGATACTTAATATCTTTTGTAGGGAAGTTGTATGAGTTAGGTTGCTTTAATTGCAAGTAACAAAAGACAATAACTAGAAAATCGAACGCAAAGTGGCTTAAACAATAAGGAGGAATACTGGCTCACGTAAACGAAAAGTTCACAATTAAGTCATGGGTGTGGTTCTATCCAGCCTGCAGCAACTGCTGCCTCTTTTCCTTCTTTTTAAAATTCTCTCAGCTCTGCTTTCTTCCATGTGATTTATCCCAAGGCCAGCTTCTCTTATAAACTTTTAACCATAAGGTGACTTCTAGCAGCAGCTGGGGCTACATGCCTGCTGTTTTACATCCAGGGGAAGTGAGAGCCTTACCTCATACATCCATTAAACAAAAGTGTTTGACTTTCCTCTGATTGGACCAACCTAAACTAATCCTGGTGGCCAGGGGAATGCCATTCTCTGTCTTGGCTTATTGCCATATCTGGACCAAATTCAACTGCAGGAGGATAAGATTACATCAGCTGGTTTATACCAGTGAGGGCCCACCGGTGATGCTGGAAGTGCAGTCAGTCCCACCCAAACGTCATGGCTGCCACACAATAGGGAAGGGATGGCTCAGGAAGGAAGGGAGAAGCAGGGAATAAATGCTGCTATAGTAATTGGGATAAATAGTTATACTTTCCAAAACTGTATGTCCTCAGCAAATTATGCTTGCGATTTTACATTTATAATCTGTTGGAGAAACATTGTTCAAATTTAGTTAAGAAAAATCACCTGGGCAGAGGTATCCAGTAAGCTGCTAGAAATATGTATTTGGAATTTGGGAAGAAATTAAGGATAGTGGAGTAAATTTGGCTCTCTTCTTGATAGAAAACAATTGCAAAAACACGAGCTACTATGAAGGACTAACTTCTCTGAATCTAACCATAAACAATTTCTAAAACGATGATTTCTTAGCATCTACTAAGATGCTAAGATGATTATTTAGCATCTGCTAATAGGAAAAAAAGGATGATTTATATCATCAAGAACCAAGATTCATCTGAAATATTTATCTGCCTATTGATAATTTCACCAATTCGCCATATTTTTTTTGCGCTGGCCCCAGAGTTGTGAAAAATGAGTCAGTGAGTTGTCCCTGAAGAGCACACTCTGATATAAACCACCTGCTGATAAGTTCAGGGCTCAAGGAGACAGGTCTCCGACAGAGAGGGGCTTCCACTTGAGAAGTGCGTTGGGCTATTGAGTGAAAATAAAACTCTGATTCATACACGTATATTAATGAAATGATATCAGGAGGCAGGATTCCCTCTTCAAGCTTTTAAGTTTTTGCAAAAGGACATTCTACAGATGTGCAAATGACTTTAAACTCACTTAACAGTGAACTTGAAGGTTCTGGGGGAATATTTGGATAACTCATAAGATTTTTGAAGTATCATTGGTCTCTGAAATTCCAAACTCCACAAATGTAACATCTCCAAAATAATGGTTATTCCTTAGCTGTACCTTTTCGAGTTTGAAAGAGTTCTCTGGACCCGCTGAGGGAGGTTGCAAATTGAGCTTATGAAGTGGCAAGCAGAATTCTGCTATAGCATCCATGGCCGGGAGCAGATGGTATAATGCACTGCCATGCAAAGTGTTCCATGGGCTGGCTGCTGGGCCCCAAACTGTTTGTTACTGGTCTGTGAGAAGATAAGGAGCTTACGCCAGAATTTAAGTCAAGCACATTACTAACTGTTCTCTTTACTTCTGCTGTTTTGTTTTTGTTTTCTTTTTTTAATAATAAGACTTTCTCGGTGAAAGAAGTAAATTCTGATGAAAACTCCTTATCTCATTACAGCCCAGTACTTTGTGCAGCACTAGGTAAAGTTAATAAATGACACAGAAAGAAAACAGGACTTCTAAATTATTATCCCATTTGCATCCTATCAAGGAAAATTATTATTAAATGGGAAGACTAGAAAAACCACAGTGAAGAGATACATCAAGCTGAATTGCTTTAAAAAGGGTACAATGGATGTCTTTGGGCAAGAGATTTCAAGGAAAGAAAGGGGAAGAGGAAAGGCTTTTTCTGGGGAGTGGCATCACATCGGGGGAAGTGTCCAGTAGCAGAAATGGGAAGGCATCCAATGATGAGGGAGCAGTGTGATCAAAGGTGTAGGCCGTGTTTAGTGTGTGTTGATAAGGAAGAAGGGGAAGGAAGCCAGTAGCAAGAAAAGGAGCATGGGATGACAAAGAAATCAGATATGTCTCAGCTTGGATGTCCTCGGCAATGCCACTATTCACCTGAGTCAGATACTTGTTATAGAGGTATGATTCTGCTTGTATGTGCGTGGGCTGTTTCTGAAGAATACCTAAGAAACTGGTAACAGTAGTTGCTTCTGTGGAGAGTTCTGGGGTGTCAGGAGTCAGGGGTTTGGGTGGCTTACTTTACATTGTCTATCCTTTGGTATCTTTTGAATTTTATACCATGGGCACCTATTATATGTCACTCCAAAAGTAACTTGAAAATATTTTCTTTCAAATAGGTAAAATATGTCAGTTTTTGAGTTTCGTGTCTTCCCAAAATAGCAGCCACAGTAATCCCTTTAAAATAGGTCATATTATGTCATTCTAGTGCTCAAAACTCTCAAAAAGCTCCCCATTTTATCCAGGGTAAAAGCCAAAGATCTTACAATGGCTCTGTGATTAGGAAGCCCGGCGTGCTTCCTACTTGGGCACTGTGGCCTGCTGCTTCTGCCAGACAGCCTCCTGCTCCAGAGGGCACACGGCTTGCTCTTTCACCTCCTGCAGGCCTTTGCTCATGTGACATCTTCTCCATGAGGTCTTCCTTGACCTTGCTGTTTAAAATTGCTGCCCACCACCACTAGCAGTCCCCCGTCCCCTTGTGGCTTTCCTTTTTTCCTGTGGCACTTATCACTATGTGCCATACCAGTTGTTTTACTTATTTGTTTTCTTATTGTCTGTCTCCTCTCACTAGAATGTAAGCTCTGTGAAGATAGAGAGTTTTGTTTTTTGCTGGTTCACATTTCCTGAAATAGTCCCTGTGTGGTAGATTACAAAAACAAATGCTCATAAATTATTTGCAGCCCCTTCCTTCAGAAGCTGGAGTCTGTTTCCCCACTTTGAATCTGGGCCGGCCTTGCACTTCTGTGATAACAGTAGAGTGCAGTGGAAGTGATACTGTGTGAGTTCCAGGCCGAGGCTCAAGAGGCTTGTCAGCTTCCACTGTTGAACTAAGAAGCTCCCCATCAGCTTGAGCACAAGCGCAGCACAGTGTAGACTCCTGGAAGGTTAGGGAGCATGTGGCAAGAGGTCTCTGCCAGCCCAGCTGGCCCAGTTTGCCCCGCTGAGACCTCAGACTTGAAAGTCAGACCAAGATGATCCAGCCACAGCTAAACCAGCCTAAACCAGCACAACTCAGCTGAATTATGAAAAATAACAAGTGTTTGTTATTTTGAAACACTAAATTTTGGAGTGGTTTGTTATCCAGCAAAAGCTAACTGATACAACCTTGTACATAGTAGGTGCACAGTAAGTATTCATGAAATTAATAAACGTTGCTGTTGTTATTGACTCAGTGAAAAAAAAAATTAGTTGAGAAATGTTGTTTCTAGTGAGCCCTTTTGATTCCTACTACAACATTATTATGCTGTAGAAACTTATTGCCCAGCTGGATTTTATTTCATGAGCTCTATATTCAAACTTAGATTCAAATTCTAGCTATACTTGTTAAAACAGCATAGCCTTGAAAAGTCATTTAGCTTCACCGAGCTATAGTTTCCTTTTCTGAGGTTAAGTACCTGCTCCACAGGACTATTGTGAGGCTCAGAGGCAATGTATGTAAAATGTACACTGCAGTTGCTGGCAAACGGGGCCATAGCCGTTATTGCTACACACTCCTCTCCTCCTCTCAGAGGAAAAGAATTCACAGACCAGATGTCCAGTACTGAGAGAGAATCAGAGATGTATGATCTGTCATGGGTAATCACTATTTTATACACAATTTAAGAAATTACCTGTATTTCAAAACAGTGTGGGAATTCTACTGCCTGATTGGTCAGAGGGTATGACATGTTGCATGGTGTCCACCAGGGAGCGATAAACACATTCATTAAGGAATAGTGCTGCTCTAAGCTGTGTGTACCTGCCAGATATTAAATGTTGCTTTAATTTTATTGTTTTAACTTGGCTGTGAAACTTACAGACTTTCTAATGTGTTAATTTTGTACATAAAATTATTAACAAGTTGCTTTATTCTTTTTAAGGTATTAAAAGGACTCACAATGTGTGTTTTCAAGAAAGTCAGCCTTTGCAAGTTATTTTTGAAAAGAGTACGTGTTCTAATACACTAATGATTCAACCAAGGTAATGAGTTCTCTGTTGTTTATTTTCCTTTTCTGAATATATTATGGTCACAGAGTAAAGAATTAATGCCCTAGAGCTTTTAAATCAGTTACTTTTTTTTAAAAAGCTCCCACTGGACTTGGAGAAATCACCTTACAGGATCTTGAGAAAGATAATAGTAGATAATGACTGTCTAATGGTAGCAATAATAATTTAGTGGCTAGTAAAGTTCTAAAAATGTCCCATCAGTGGCTTTCTATATCAAGTGATATCGAGAGAAAAATATTATCTAATAATACTTTGCATTTATATGGTGCCTTCTGTCTGAGTCTTAAAACACACAGGATGAGGAAATTTTAACATTTTTGATATGAACTGATTTTATCTCTAAGTGTTTGCATTTTTTTCTCTAGAGAATGAGTGAGGCATATTTGTCAGTGTAGGGCACCCAATTTTTCAGTTAAGGTGTAGCGTTAAACATAATTACTTTCTGAGCCTAAAGATATTTTATACTTATTGTTTTTTAAATTACAAAAGTAATACATGCTCCTTACAGTATATTTAAAATTTATAGAAGAGCACAAAGATAAAAAATGAAAGCCTTTCTCCTCTACCTGCCCCTGTATCCCACATGGCGGGGTAACATCTATTAACAACTTGGTGTATATCCTTCTAGATCTTCTACTTATAACCAGTCTCTTTGTAACTCTCCCTCTCCCTATAGCTATGGATATCTCTTCCTTTCCCCCTCTTTCACCCTCTCTCTCAAATTTATATCACATACTGCATACATACTTATACATAGTTTTTTCAAAGAAAATGTCCTAGTATTCTTATTGTTTGGCAAATTGCTTTTTTTAGTTTCTATGTCAGTTCAGTTAAATCAATATTATTATTTTTAATGATTGCATATTTTTTCATTGTATAACTGAGCCATAATTTCCAACTTTTTGCTATCACAAACAATGCTGCTAGTAGTACATAGGATGGTGTATCAGTTACTTATTTCTGTGGAGCAAATTTCTCCAAAACTGAGAGCTTTAAAAATCCAGACATTGTTACTTCATAGTAATAAGTACAGTTTAGCTGGGTACTTCAGGCTCCAGGTCTCTCCTGAGGTTAAAGTCAAGCTGGCGGCCAGGGCTGTAGGCTCATCTGAAGGCTGGACTTGGGAGGGTTCACTCCCAAGCTTGCTGACGCTGTTACAAGGCCTCAGAAGACCAACTTCCAAGCTCACTCCTGTGGCTGCTGGTAGGCCTCAGTTCCTCACCATGCAGCCCTCTCTCTAGGCTGCCTGGATCTCCTCACAACCTGGCAGCTGGTAATCAGAGAGAGAAAGAGACAGAGAGAACTCCCAAGAAGGAAGCCATAGTCTTTTTGTAACGTAATCTCAGAATGACATTTCCTGGTGTCTGCCATTTCTCTTTGTCCAGCCTACACTTGAGGGGAGGGAATTATATAAGGGGGTGAATACTAGGAGGTGGGGATCATTGGGGGCCATCTTATTGTTTGCCTAACACAGATTGAGCCCTAGAAATGAAATTGCTGGGTCAAAGGCTTAGACAAATTTTAAATTTGCATACATACTGGCTACCAAATTGCTATCTGAAAAGTTTGTACCAATTTACATTTCCGCCAAAAGTGTAAGGAGACCCCTTCCAAGTAAAGGATATGATCAATCTTTAAAAATTTTGCCAGTCTGGTGCCGGCTCCGTGGCTGAGTGGTTAAGTTCGCAAGCTCTGCTACGGCGGCCCAGGGTTCGGATCCTGGGCGTGGACAAGGCACCGCTCGTCAGGCCACGTTGAGGCGGCGTCCCACATCCCACAACTAGAAGGACCTGCAACTAAGATATACAACTATGTACAGGGGGAGTTTGGGGAGATAAAGCAGGGAAAAAAAAAAAAAGATTGGCAACAGTTGTTAGCCCAGGTGCCAATCTTAAAAAAAAAAAAAAAAATTTTGCCAATCTGATAGGTAGAAAATGGTATTATTAGATGCTCTTTATTGTCATGTTTATTCAAAGGAGTTTAAGCATCACCATATATTTATTAGCAATTTATATTTTTATTCCTTTTTGAATTGCACATTCATGTTGTCATTTTTTGTATCAGGTTATTTGATATCTTGTACAACACCTCCCCGTTAACACTGGAAATGTTCCCAAATGAATTTGGTAGGTGTTCCTGACATTTTGGCATCAAGAAACAGTGCTGAGCTAATGTCTAGCATCAGGTTAACACCAACATTACATAAATTCTAAGGATCTCACTGTTATCTAACAGCACCTCAATTTTAAAAGTAGCCCATGGGGCCAGCCCGGTGGCCAAGTGGTTCAGTTCATGTGCTCCGCTTTGGCGGCCCAGGGTTTTGCCAGTTCAGATCCTGGGCATGGACATGGCGCCGCTCATCAAGCCCTGCTGAGGTGGCATCCCACATGCCACAACTAGAAGGACCCACAAATAAAAATAGACAACTATGTACCAGGGGGCTTTGGGGAGAAAAAGGAAAAATAAAATCTTTGAAAGTAGCCCAAAACCTACAATGCAATAATAAAAAGATAAATAACCTAGCTAAAAAATGGGCAAAGGATTTGGATAGACATTTTTCCAAAGAAGATATACAAATGGGCAGCAAGCACATGAAAAGGTGTTCAGGGGCTGGCCCTGTGGCTGAGTGGTTAAGTTCTTGCGCTCTGCTTTGGCAGCCCAGGGTTTCACCGGTTTGGATCTTGAGTGCAGACATGGCACTGCTCGTCAAGCCATGCTGAGGCAGCGTCCCACATGCCACAACTGGAATATACAACTGTGTACTGGGGGGCTTTGGGGATAAAAAAAGGAAAAATTAAAAAAAAATCTTAAAAAAAAAGAAAAGATGTTCAACATTATTAAGTCATTAGGGAAATGCAAATCAAACAACTTTAAATCTGATTTGTGCAGTATGTGAATATATTTCAAGAAAGCTCTTTCTAACAAGGGAGCCCAGATGAAAGGGCATTTGAGATATCAAGACAATCTTGAAAGTAATAGGTAATATCTAGGGCAAGTAACAAAGGGAAAGAGAATTTAGGCAGCAGGCTGCTTGTAAAGCTCTGCCCCTCAACTGGGTCTCCAGCATAGTTCACCCCAGTTCTATTTGAACAGCTCTGTTTTCTACTATCTCCCATAGGAGTATGATCTCGGGCTGTTTTTCTTTTGTTTTTTGGCTTTTTTTGAGGAAGATTAGCCCTTAGCTAACATCTGCCACCAATCCTCCTCCTTTTGCTGAGGAAGACTGGCCCTGAGCTAACATCTGTGCCCATCTTCCTCTACTTGATACGTGGGATGCCTGCCACAGCATGGCGTGCCAAGCGGTGCCATGTCTGCGCCTGGGATCTGAACCAATGAACCCCAGGCCACTGAAACAGAGCTTACGAACTTAACCACTATGCCATTGGGTTGGCTGCTCAAATTTTTTAAAAAATATATTGGGTATATAAAAACATAGAATTAGAGACATTTTGTTCTAGTGTTTGGTTTATCCTGCAGTTTTCACATGTTTTACTAAGAATATATTTTACTATTCTCTTGGCTTTCAAATGAAGTGACAATTTTAAAATATACTAAAAATAAAGCAGTTCATATAGAAGAAAGAAGGTAGGTCTTTTGGGTAAATTTTTCTAAATCCAGGCGAACTAACCTATTTATTTCCATATTAGAGATTTGAGTCCTATTTAATAAGATTATTTCTATTCGTTTGCAAATAATGTAATTTTTTTCATTATTTATAGAGTGCTTGCTGAAGCAATTGTTCTTTTTACATCAAGTCAAGAGGAAGTTACTCTTGCCGTTACTCCATTCAATGTTTGCATTAAGAGTTCTAATGAGGAATCAATGGGTAAGGATTCTATCTGTCATGGTGTTTGATGGAATATTACTTCCTGGCTTTCTTGAAGTATACAGTAAATATTAGTGGCATAATATTTATTCTTGTTAAAAAAGCTCTAAGATGTAGAAAGATCATTAAAATTTTCAAGAGATCCAGGAAGGTTAACACAATCAGTAATTAAAAATGCTTGGCTTTGGTGCAGTAGTTAAGTGCTCACGTTCCGCTTTGGCAGCCCGGGATTCACGGTTCAGATCCTGGGTGCGGACATGGCACCGCTTGGCACGCCATGATGCAGTAGGCGTCCCACATATAAAGTAGAGGAAGATGGGCACAGATGTTAGCTCAGGGCCAGTCTTCCTCAGCAAAAAGAGGAGGATTGGCGGCAGATGTTAGCTCAGGGCTAATCTTCCTCAAAAAAAAAAAAAAAAAACAACAAAGAAAAACTTGGCTTTGAGATTCAGGTTGTTTTAAAATTGGGAGAATGGTTACTGAGAAAAATATATTTTCAGTTAAGATTTTAAGGTCTCTTTCTCATCCTGTCATCCTTTGTGTTTAGCGTAAAGAAAAATTAAGAGGGCAGCAATGCAATTGAGATGATCTTTGACCACATAAGGATAAAAAGTTATAAAAAGTAACTTTGAATTAGAAATGTAAGGTATTCCAGGCTTAAGTTGAGTCAGATGACTTTTTTAGTGTTTAGTTTGTGCCAGGTTCTATTCTAAATGGTTTACATTTCTGGATTCATTTGATCTTCATAACAACTCTGTGATGCAAGTACTATTATTATCCCCGTTTTCCATATGAAGAAATTGGAGCACAGAGAAACTGAGTGACTTGTCTGGTGTCACACAGTAAGTGGTGGATTATGATCTGAATACACAGCTGGGCCCCAGGCCTCAGACTCGTTCCCGCTGTGCTATTATTGCTTCTCTCAGGTCTTGTGCAGCATTCTCTTTTGGCACTCAGGAGTGCATGATCTGGAAAATATATGCTTGGCTAGTGAAGGGTCTGTTTTATATTCCATAATGCCATCTCAATAAAGATGCCATTTGGTAACCAGGAGACACTGTCCCTCATGGGCAGTTTTCCAATGAGTACTTATAGTTATGGTTGACTGGGGACCCAATTGTTTAATTTTATTATCGAACTTACTCTATGCTACTACACTGGGAGTGACATGAGCCTTCTTGTTTGAGGTGAATATATGTGTAAGATATTGTTTGGTCCTTTTAAAAAATATATACCATTTATCCTGTGTCCTTACACTTATATAATTCATATTCATTGAAGAAAATTAAAAACAAAAAAAATCACCTGAAATCCCACTATCCAGAGACAAGCACTTTTCATAGTTTGGCAACAGATGTTGGCTCAGGGTGAATCTTCCTCAGCAATAATAATAATAATAATAATAATAATAATGGCTTGGTACATCTTCTTCTATCCTTTAGACCTAACAACAGGAGATTGGTTGAGTGAAGGTAATGAAATACTATGAAGCTCTTAAAAGTAATGTTATATGTGTGTATGTACATTCCTTTCTCCCTGAGTGTGTATATCAGAGATGTTTGTTGAAGCTAATTTTGTAGGGAAAAACATAAAACACTGATACACACAAATAATTAGAAAAATGTACTTGTTGACATTTTATTCGATATATTATTGAATAGATTATAAAGTGGTATGCACAGTATAATCACATTTTCATTTTTAAAAATACACATAAAAATTGAATAAAATATTAGGAAACAAAATTCAGCACTTCATTAAGGAGATCCTATACCATGACCATGTGGGATTTATTCCAGAAATGCAAGGTTGGTTCAATATTAGCAAATCCAAGAAAATAAAACACTATATCAATAGATTTAAGGGGGCTGGCCCCGTGGCCAAGTGGTTAAGTTTGTGCACTCCACTTCAGTGACCCAGGGTTTCACCGGTTCAGATCCTGGGCATGGACATGGCGCCGCTCATCGGGTCACGTTGGGGCGGTGTCCCACATGCCACAACTAAAAGGACCCACAACTAAAATATACAACTATATACTGGGGGGATTTGTGGAGAAAAAGCAATAATAATAATAATAATAATAATAATAATAAAAAGATATGAATGAAAAAGAAAAAAGTATAGGTGAGTCAAAATTATATCTTTATATCATTCCCATTTGAAATTTTATTCTTATGTCAATTTAGATAAGAACTCTGGTATTTAACATAAACAGTTTGATTTACGTGAGGTGAATTTGTAGCAGATCCTAAATTGTTGAGGAGTTCAAGAGGAATGTATACTTTATTATAAATATCACATTGAATTTATTTTTTAAACATAGCTATTTGAAAATAGTATAGAGATATGGGGGGATCATGTGGGGTAGGAGTAAATTTTGATGGGGCATGGGAGACAAAAAATATCTTTTTTTCCTTCAAAATCATTATTCATTTTTAAAAACAGCTTTATTGAAATATAACTCAGATACCATACAATTGATTCACTTAGAGTGTACAAGTCAGTGATTTTTAGTATATTCAGAGTTGTGCAGTCATTATCACAATCAATCTTAGAGCATTTAAGCATACCCATTAGCAGTCATTTCTCATTTCCTCCCAACCTCCAACCCACCCCGAGGCAACCACTAATCTACTTTCTGTCTCTATGAATTGTCTATTCTGGGGCATTTCATATATATGGAATCACGTAACATGTAGCCTTTTGTGTCTGGCTTCTTTCACTGAGGGTCGTATTTTCAAGGTTATTCCATGTAGTAGTATGTATCAGTATTACATTTCTTTTTACTGATGAATAATAATCCATTGTATGAATATGCCACATTTTATTTATCTGTTCATCATTTGATGGGCATTTTGGTTTCACTTTTTAGCTCTTATGAATAATGCTGCTATGAACATTCATGTACAAGTTTTTGTGTGAACATATGTTTTCATTCATCTTGGGTATATACTTAGGAGTGGAATTGCTGAGTCACACAATAACTCTATGTTTAATATTTTGAAAAACTGCCAGACTGTTTTCCAAGGCGGGTATACCATTTTACATTCCCACCAGCAGTATGAGGGTTCTGATTTCTCCACACCCTCACCAATACTCTGTTATTGTTTGTCTTTTGGATTATAGCCATCCTAGTGGGTGTGAAGTGTTGTCTTCTTGTGGTTTTGATTTTCCTTTCCCTAATAACTAATGATATTGAACATCTTTTTATGTGCTTATTGGTTATTTGTATATCTTCTTTGGAGAAATGTCTGATCAAATCCCTTGCTTGTTTTTCACTTGGGTTATTTGTCTTTTTATTGTTCTGAATACTAGCCCCCTATCATAAATATGATTTCAAATCTTTTCTCCCATTCTGTAGGTTGTCTTTTTGCTTTCTTGATGGTGTCCTTTGAAGCACAAAAGTTTTTTATTTTGATGGAGTCCAATTTATTTGTCTTTCTTTTGTCCCTTGTGCTTGTAGTGCATCAATCGTTTTTTAAATCATAAAAGAATATGTAATAAAGGAATAAAGCCCGTAATGTCTGTATCTTTGATTATCTTGGAATGTACATGTAGTGTTCTAAATGTAAGGCTTCATTATGACAATAGTTGTTGAGAAAAATCCAATAATCTCTTCTTGAATAGAAGACATAGAAGATAGGATTTACCTCTGTTTAAGGAAACATGATATGCAAAAGTCTACATTAAAAAATTGGAGAGCGTATTACTTAGGATTATCTCCAACTAGGAGTGACAGAAAACAAAATAAAATAATCGTGGTAGATGTGGTTACTCCACAATCATCAAGGCACCAGGTGTTTGTTTCTTGTTTCTCTGGTATCTTTAATAAGTGGCTTCTATTTCATAGTCCACACAGTCATAGCAGCATTATTCATAATAGCCACAGAGTGTCATCAACTTGTAAATGGATATGTAAAATGTGGCATATCCCTACAGTTTAATATTATTCAGCAATAAAAAGGAATGGAGTACTGATAGATGCCGCAACATGGATGAGCCTTGAAAACATCATACTAGGAAGCCAGGCACAAAAGGCTACATATTGGATGATTCCATTTATACAAAATATCCAGAATAGTTAAATCCATGGAGACAGAAGCTAGATTAGTGGTTTCCAGAGGCTGGGAGGAGGGAGGAATGGGGAGTGATTGGTAATGGATGTGGGTTTTCTTTTTGAGGTGATCAGAATGTTCTGAAATTAGATAGTGTTAATGGTTGTACCACCTTATGAATGTACTAAAACCACTAAATTGTACACTTTAAAATGGTGAAAGTTATGGTATGTGATTATATCTCAATTTAAAATTTTTAAAATTCACTTTTTAAGCCATGTTTTATAATTTAGTGTGATACATCTATGTTGTCTGTTAATCTCTTTTTTAAAAAAATTTAAAAGTTTTTTTTGCTGTGGAAGATTTGCCCTGAGCTAACATCCACTGCCGATCTTCCTCTTTTGTTTTTTGTATGTGACCCACCACCACAGCGTGGCCACTGACAGACGATGGGTGTAAGTCTGTGTTTGGGAACCGAACCTAGGCCGCTGAAGTGGAGCGTGCTAAACTTAACCACTAGGCAACTGGGTTCGTTAATATTTTTGAAACAAGATGGGGTATAATGAAATAAGTAAAGCATAACTTTGTTATTATATGTAAACTATATTTATAAATAGTAGTTCCCTTTAATAGTACTAACAAAAATAAATTAGTTTTTATGGTATCCTGATTATTTAATTGCTTATAATAAGCCACTATGTTTTGGCATGGCTTAAAATAGTTTATTCTTCTCTCTCATGATTCTGTGGGTTGATGTGGCTCAGCTGGGAAGTTCTCACTTGGGGTCTCTCATGCAGTTGCAGGTAGTGGCAATCACTTGCAGGTCTGGAATCACCTGCAGACATCCAAGGTGGCACACTGACATGCCTGGTAGTTGATGCTGGGCTGTTACCCAGAGTGCCTGCACATATGTGGCCTCTCCTTTAACTTGGACTTCATATAGCAGGAACTCAGCTTGGTGTCTGAGTTCCAAGAGTGAGTGTTGCAGGATAGAGGAAGTGGACAGAGGATAGAGGAAATGGAGGCTGCCAGTCTCTTAAGGCCTGGGCCCAGAAACCAGCACGAGGTCACTTCACCATATCCTAATGGGCAGAGCAGTCAGAGAGCCCACCCACTGAGATTCAAGGGGAGAGGATGTAGGCGTAGACCCCATCTCTCAATGAAGGAATATCAAAGAATTTGTGGCTATTTTTAACCTCACACTTAAGGTTATATTTTCATGTTAAAATTTAACAGATACCCCTGGAACTAATTTTGTTGTTTTCCTATAATATTGAACAGATTTGACCAGTTCTGTACACAGTGAGATGTTCGTTGGCCCAGATGAGTTTGACTTCTTTCAAATTGGAGTTGATACTGAAATAACATTTTGCTTCAAAGAATTGAAGGTAAACAAAAATTTGTGTCAAATTAAAATTTTCACTGGTAGTTTTTAATAAAGATTTCATGTTTTTTTCTTCTTTTCCTTTCAGGGAATGCTGATATTTTCAGAAGCTACACATGCTCCTATATCCATTCATTTTGATTTTCCTGGGAAGTAGGTCCTTGGGAACTTTTCTGAGTTTGTTTTTATTTTCCTTTTGTCATATATTAATAATAAAATCCTTTGGATCACTTCAAAATTAATTCACACCTCAGGAATTCCTTAACTTTACTAGCAACACGCATCAAACGGAAATTTTGAAAGATGCCATAACATAGCAATTTTTAATTGGTAATTTGATGGAGAACGATATATTCTACAGAGTGAAAACATTTGTAAATTTGACATGGTGCTGAATAAATTGCCTAATTAGAAAATTATACATGGCTTAAACAAGTTAAATCTCTATGAAACTATGATACTTTATATGATATTTCAGAACTGAAATTTCAAATGAGATTGAGTTAGGATAGACGTGTTTTGTTTTGTTTTGTTTTGTTGAGGAAGATTAGCCCTGAGCTAAATCTGCCGCCAATCCTCCTCTTTTTGCTGAGGAAGGTTGGCCCTGAGCTAACATCCATGCCCATCTTCCTCTACTTTATATGTGGGATGCCTACCACAGCATGGCTTGCCAAGCTGTGCCATGTCTGCACCTGGGATCTGAACCGGCGGACCCCGGGCCACCGAAGTGGAACGTGTGCACTTAACCACTGTGCCACTGGGCCAGCCCCAGGATAGATGTGTTTTATGAAATTGGATCTGATGATTTCTAAGGGCCCTCTGGCTCTTAGAACTGTGTTAATTTGTGAAAAAACATAAAGGACTTCTAGTTTTACTGTTTCTTTTTACTCCTGAATTAATTGTCATTTTCTAATGTTTTCTCAATGCCCATCAGAAAACAAGTGTAATGTTTGCTCTGACTTTGCCTTTTTTAGACCTATGGCTCTAAGTATTGATGATATGTTACTGGAAGCTAACTTTATTTTGGCCACATTAGCTGATGAGCCGAGTAGAGCATCTTCTCCACAATCACTGTGTCTGTCACAGAAACGAAAAAGGTAAGGCCGTGTTTTAATGTCTTTATTGGTTGGGAAAAAGCCATTGCAATCTTATTCTGAAATAATTCAGTGGCATTCATTTAGGAAACAATTGAAGAGAAAAATATTAGAAGATGAGAAATTTTGATTGGATCAGGAAGAGCTATAGTAAGATCTAACTGTAACATAGAAATATCACCAATCTGGCACTAGATATTTGCTTTTTTTCCTTCTGATCAGAATTTAACCAGACTCTCTGGTTTATCTTTGTTGTTACCCAAAGCTCCGTTTTTAGTAGTTGCTTTTTAGGAGTGCTACAGTGTGGAAGTTCACAGGAGAGTCTGTGTTCACTACCTAGAACTCTCTTCTCAAACATGGGGACAGCTATTGTTTGTCTTTTGTCTCTTAAGTAACTTTTTTTTTTCTGGGTGGTGCTTCACTGTAAAAGTAAGATAAAGTTACTCTGGGAAATTTGGAAAATACAGAAAAGTACAAAGACTATAAAAGTAGCATAAAGTTACTATGGGAAATTTGGAAAATACAGAAAAGTACGAAGAAGAGAATCAGAATCACCCACACTTGAACCACGTAGTGATAGCTACTGTTAATGTTTGGCTCACTGTATTTTCTTTCAGACTTTTTATTGTGCATACACTTATATTTTAAAACAAAGTTGGGATCATATAGCATATGTAGTTTTGGATCCTGTTTTTTCCCCACAAAATATGATGTTGTGAACGTGTTTCAGTATCACTGATTATGACTTGGAAACATGATATTTGTGGCTGTATAAAATTTTATCATATAGATGTATAGTAATGTATTTGATTTTTTTTTGATTTGGCCCTGTTATCATAAGATTGTCTCATGCACACTGGGTTGCTTTACTGAAAAATTCAAATCTGTCTAGAGAATTTCTAAATAATTGTATATGTAAATCTTAACTTTCAACAATTAGTCCCATGTTATTGCAATATATTTCCTAAACTAGTGTTATCATTGTCATCCCCTGTTGTTCCATTGGTTATATAAAAATATGTATTTCAAAGTAAACGGTTCATTCATTTAATCCCTATTAATAACTCAGGTCAGATCTGATACGTTCAAATTCAAAGGCTGGTAAAAATGTAACCAGCAAGGCCCTGGAGCATATCTCGAGAAAAGCGGCACCCAAAAGGCTTTGTCCTAATGAGACGCTAACAGACATCTCTGCCTTGGAAAACTGTGGCAGCCCTCCACTGAAAAGAGTGAGCGGAGATGTTGGTGAAGTACCAGCAAGCAGTGTCAGGCGCGCGGAGGAAGTGCTGGCGTCTCCGTGTCTCAGGAAGGTAACAGAAAACATTGAGACGTGACCAGGTCTCGCTCAGGAATTCTCATCCTCTGTTTCCTTTTGCCCCAGCCCACCCTCAATATCTTGAAAATTAATTCTCTTACGTTTTGATAGAGGAGAGGTGAAGCCAGTCTGAGGTAGAGAAAAGACTGATTTATAGAATGTCAACACAAAATAGTTAAACTGCTCATTGAGTAATTTCTAACAAAATATATTCAAGTGAGGTTTGGGTCACTTGTTTTAAAGAATAAATTATGATTGCTTATAGCATACTTTGTTTGAATGTAAATATCATGCTTAAGTCATGTAACTCGTTTTTTAAAGATTGGCACCTGAGCTGACATCTATTGCCAATCTTGTTTTTTTTCTTCTCCTCCCCAAAGCCCCCAGTACATAGTTGTACATTCTAGTTGTAGGTCCTTCCAGTTGTTCTGTGTGGGACGCTGCCTCAGCATGGCTTGATGAGCAGTGCTAGATCCACACCCAGGATCTGAACCTGCGAAACCCCAGGCTGCCGAAGTGGAGTGCGTGAACTTAACCATGGGGCTGGCCCCTAACTCGTTTTTCAAAATAAGTGTCCTTCTAATTCTATTTTTCAAATTTTGTTGGAAATCCTTTATTCATAGTAGTACAAATGTAAATTCCATCCCAACAAACATGACAAATTCCTTCATAGTGGAGTCCCAGTTAATAACATATTATTATTTTACCAGTATTTTACTAGAAGGATGATAAGCTTACAGAATGCTATAGTGTCAAACCTTATGAAATCTATTGAATTGAAGATAAAGATAATTTATTAGAAACTGAGGTATCTCAAATAATGATAATCTCGATTTTGCATCTTTACATTAATATTTTATTCAAGCTTGTTTTGCTGTTGCTACTATTATTGGTTTGGAAATATGAGTTTCTTAGAATTAGAAATTTGAAAGGAGAAATAATATTTCAAAAAGTCACTATCTTTGGCTGTACAAAAGACCTTTAGGACAAATTGGATAGTAAAGTCCACTTATTATTCAGTTTGATGCCATCACTGTTTATTGAATACCTAGTACATGCCTGGCACTTATGGCAGTTTTCTCTTGTGTATTACTAGCTTGGCCATAAAGTGAGAACCAAAGTCTGTCTTTTCATTATGCAGAAGCATTTTCCCTCGCCTGTCTTTTTGGTCACACATATTGTGCTTACTTACTTCTTCATAGGCAGCAAAAGAAAACACTTTCCTGCTGCTTCACCTCTCTGCAGTCCACTTAGATTGCAGATTTCCTTTCTAGGGAGAGTGACCTTTAGAATTGAAAGCTCCATGAGCCCCATTGCAGCACTCTTTTCTTCAAGTGTCCTATCCTGTCGCTTAAATTCTAAAATGGAAGTTCCATTTTTTTTAAAGGAATTATTTGCTTGAATGTGTCAATCTCCTGCAAAACTGAATTTACATTATGGGTAAATTATTTAAGGCCTTATCATCTTCCACCTGAACTACTGTCAGGCTTCTGATTGGCCTCCAGGCCTCCATTCTCCTCCACTCTGGTTCGCCTCCACAGTGTGCAGAAGACTGTCCAAGCCTTCATCCACAACGAGGAATAGGGCTGCAGAGCACGGGCTCTGGAGTTCTGGTTCCTGGATTCAAATCCTGGTCTTGCCGCTTATTAGCTGTGTGACTTGGACAAGTTATTTATCTTTGCCTCGGTTTTCTTATCAGTAAAATCAAGATAATAATAATACTACCCATTACATAGAATTGTTGTGAAAATTAATTGAGCTTATACATGGAGCTGGCACATGGTCAGTGCTCATTAAATGTTAGTTATCTCCTGCCTTTAAAGCTCTTGGGTCATTCCGTTTCTCCCATGGGATCGCACCAAACTCCTTGGATTCAGGGACTTTCATTGAGGGACTTTCCCTCGGGTATTTGAGGTGATCTTCACAAGGCCACCTTCTTTCTTCCCTCCTGCCCGCAAACAAAACACACTCGGTGCCAGGAAGGGCACGTGGGTTTCCTCTCTGGTAACACCACCGAGCATTTGTCTGGGCAAGCAGTGTTGAGAATGACGCATAGCTGTATCTTCACTTGATCAGCAGCATCTGCCAGGCGCACTGGAGGGCTGTCACCTGTGGACCAGACTAAAGCTGTAGCCATTAAGGTGCTGGTGACGTTCTTATAACAATATAGCCCACACTATTTGTTTGCTTGTTTTTAGCTTTTTGCTTTAAAATAATTTTACTTTTAAAAAGTTGCAGAAATAGTACAAAAAATTCCCACATACCCTTCTCCCAGACTCGCCAAGTGTTAACATTTTCTATAATAGTACAATTATCATTTCATTGGAGAAAAATCAGAAAATACAAATCAAAGGTAATCAAAGATAATCACTACACATCCTTTTATTATTACTCTACCTTTGAAGACTTTTTCTATGCACATATATATACACATACTTGCACACATGCATATCAAATTTTAATTTTTAAAATTTTGAAGCAAATTCAGACTCACTTGCAGAAATAGTGTAAAGGATTCCCATATGCCTTCATCCAGATTCCCTAAATATTGACATCATAGGTTAATAGAGTCTCCTTTAGAATATTTTCTAGGTCTTGCTTTATCTTTCTTTACTTGATGCTTTAGTAGAATGTCCTCAAATTTGAATCCTCTCATGATTAAATTTCAGTGGTGCATTTTGGGTAAGAATATAACAGTGATGCTGAGTTCTTTTAGTCTATCATACGTGGAGGCACACGATGGAGTTTTTTTTTTTTTTAAAGATTGGCACCTGAGCTAACAACTGTTGCCAATCTTCTCTCTTTTTTTCTTATTGCTTTTTCTCCCCAAATCCCCCGAGTAGATAGCCGCATATTCTAGTTGTGGGTCCTTCTAGTTGTGGCATGTGGGATGCTGCCTCAACAGGTGATCAGTACTGTGTCTGCGCCCAGGATCTGAACCAGCAAAACCCTGGGCTGCCACAGCGGAGCGCGTGAAGTTAACCACTCGGCTACCGGCCCGGCCCCACGATGGAGATTTGTCTCCTTGATGGTCTTTATCTGATTAAGGTGCTATCTGCCAGATTTCTCCAGTGTAAAGCGACTGCTTTTCTGTTAGTAATTGAAAGAGTCTTGTGGGGAGCTACTCTGAGACTATAAAAGATCCTGTTCCTCATCATACTTTTTGCCTACTAATTTTAGCATTCATTGATTTCTTTTTCTGTTTAAAATAGTTATCACTGTGATGTTTGCCAAATGGTGATTTTTCTTTTTGTCGGATGAAACTTCACTTTAAGTTCTTTCCCTTCTGCCCTATTTATTTGTTATTCAATTATTTATTTATATCATGATATACTCTTGGATATTAGTCTATGAATTTTAATCCATTACTAGCATTATTTATTTTCTTGCTTAAATTGCTCCATATTTGGCCACTGGTAGCCTATGTCCCTTTGACATGTCTCCAACATTTTTTTTCTAAAGATTGGCACCTGACCTAACATCTGTTGCCAGTCTTTTTTTCCTTCTTCTTCTTCTCCCCAAAGCCCCCCAGTACATAGTTGTATATTCTAGTTGTGGGTCCTTCTAGTTGTGCTATGTGGGACGCTGCCTCAGCATGGCCTGATGAGCGATGCTAGGTCTGTGCCCAGGATCCAAACCGGAAAAACCCTGGGCCACTGAAGCAGAGTGCATGAACTCACCCACTCGGCCATGGGGCTAGCCCTTGTCTCCAACATTTTTTGAGCACTTCCTTACTTTTTGGAAGCTTAAAATGTCCTAGGCTTAACTTGTATTTCTCCTGCTCCAGCCCCAGAATCAGCCATTTCTCCCAAGAGCCCTGGTTCTTTTGATTGGAGATGGTATATAGAAACCAAGTTCCGAGTGCTAGGTGTGCCCTTTTGTACTAGGATTTCATTGCTTCTGGGCCCTCTCAGCAGACAGAGCTAGGAAGTATATGCATTTATTGACACATACACATGTATTGATTAATTTTATATCTATTTGTATACGTATATATATTAAAATCCATAAACTCATAGTAATACCTCCAATTCCAGTTCAACACCACTGAGTCCATGCTAGCCTCCTGCTTGCTTTATTTATAACTCCTTTTTCTGACAGAAACTAGGCTTATTATTCACAGTATGTTTACTTATTGTTCAATCCTAGAACACACAGTTTCAGAACTGCTAATCCATACCCAACGAAAAACAAATCTGCTAACTAGAGGTACAGTATCTGTCATCATTATTTTGTCTTTAGTCGTAAAGTATATATTCAAAATACTGTTTTTCAAAGTTCCTTAGGTTAGTTCTTCCCTCTCTCATATTTCGGTGTGGTTGTTCATCCTCTGTAATACAGGTAGCCTTATTTGTTTGCTTGTCTTCCGTTTTGGTTCTCCTCAAATCCTTGTTGATTTTATTTGTTTATTTCGAGTGCTGAGCCATCAGCAGCACTGAAAGTGGGAACTATACAAAGGTATATGCAGGGCGCGTCACTCCCTCCCTCCTCTGCCCGGGCCTGGGCCCCTTGTAGGGAGTAAATCTCGTTAAGTTTCTCACTTATCATTTCTATGTTTCTTTGTGCACAAATGAGCAGATACTTATGTATTTTGTCTCTTCTTTCTTATACTATAAATGCTGTTTTCCACTTTGGTTTTTGCACTTAACAGTATATACTGAAAATCACTCCATATCAGTTTCTCTTTTTTCCCCTCAGCTGCTTAGTATTCCATGTGTGAATGTACCATAGTTAATTCAACGACTCTCCTATCTGCTGACATTTAGATATCCCCTAGTATTTTGCAGTTACAGAGCTGCAGTGAGTTACCTTTTATACATATGTTTTCATATTATCAGAAGTGTAACTTCAAGGCAAATTCCTGACAGTGTGATTGCTCCTTCAAAAGGTAGTGCATATGTAGTCTTGTGAGGTGCTGCCAGCTTCCTCTCCAGAAGGGTTGGACCAGTTTGTGTCCCCTCCTGTGACGGAGGAGAGGGCCAGGGGGAAACCCAG